GGCCTCAGGGACTACCGACGACCTTCCCCGCATCATTTCACCTGTTGGACAGTTCTCGTCGCAACGAAAGGTCCTGACTCTACCTTGGTTTTGGCATACATGTATGTAACATAACTTAGCTTTGTGCTTCGTTTCTATTGACCCGAGTCGCTTGGGATCTGCACCTAGGACGGTGAAAGGAAATCTCTGGCATGATGGGGTCCGCTTGATGACGAGACCCGTCGTCAGTGACGCTAATGATTCCCTATACCCACAATGTCTCGGTAGAGTGAGAGTGATGGGGCACTTACGGATGGAATGAAGGAACATGGCTGCTATGCGTGTTCCTCTGGTGGCTCAATAACCTTGAGCAGTAGATCTAAGCTCCACTGGCTTGGAAACCGCACAAATTACGGGCAAGGCAAGTAATTCGGAAGGCAACAAACAAGTGTGCTGCGTTTCTGCAGAGAAACCCCGTATACATACATGTCATCTTCCGGCTCGGTGAATTCTATGCCTAAACATTCTCCTATCATTTCTGCAGGCGTTCGCCATTGGGCGGGCGCGAAAGCAGCCTCTCACCATTCCATTAGGTATCACCTCAAACCAATCATGATACAATCGATGTACGCAAGCTCATTCGACAAGAATGTTCGATACTGTCAAAAGAAATACGCTTGCTGTCGCACACTTGTAAATCATAGGCAGTAGGTAGACCTCATCATGTGAAAAGTAGGCATCGACGTGTTGAGAAACTTGGTTAAGGCAGGTAGGGAATAACAAAGTCCAAGAATCCAAGAAACACTCATCTCTACACACCGAAGTAAAAGACTATAAAAATGAAATTCCAACCCAAATGACAAAAGAGTTCACCCCCCCGGTATCGAACGGGGGCTACATCTCTTGGTGCACATGCCGGGAAAATCCGCCGATATCCAATGGAGGTCCAGGTGGGTAGGTTGTCGATCGTGTACGTATACGTATGCGCTTGCGGGATTCGAACTTGGGCGGTTCATCGTTTGCGACCATGGCGACCCCAGACACAGTTTGTCCTGACCACATCGCGCCGGATGGGACGCCTTCTGTTTGCTGGTGACGGTATGAACAAAATTGTTCCCCAAGTAGGGTCGCTCGTTTCCCGTCTGGTTTTGGCTCAGGTGGCTTGAAAGGGGGGAAGGGGAGGGGAGGAGGACGTCCGGGTTGTGAGGTAGTTTATGGGGCGGAAGGTACGTGGCTGCGCACCCTCCTGAAGCGTCACTTTGGTGATTGTTGATGTTTATCCCCATGACAACGACCTTTGCGGCCAGCACCTCGCTTTTGCTGCGAGTACGTGACCTCAGGACCTGAGTAGGCTGAAATCTACACTCCGGGGATACTTTTCACCGCCTGACCCGAATGACTGCCAAATTTCATGACCTCTCTGCTTATTTCTACTGAAGCATCGTCTTGTTCAAGCAATAAAGCCATTTGAGAAGCTAATTTAACATATCTAACTAAGGCTAGCTATCTTCTGCTACGATAGGCATCACTACTGCCCACAAGTTCCCCCATTCCCTTGATGCAACTTCATGCCGCTGATGATGCCACAATATCGAGATGCCCCTTCTCAAGTGTGCAAATAGTTCCCAAACACCAAACTCTTACGAAAGAATTCCTGGATTGCTGGAGGTAGTTACGGTGAGTGGCGAGAAGGGATGAATCATACCTTGCATCGACCATGGCAGGCTTATTCTGTGGTATTTACCCAGGCCCAGGGCCCAATTCGTCAACCAAGCCCAATCGATCCTCATGGTCGACCGGTAAAAGCCCTGGTCGGTTAGTACAGAACTTGGTATGAAATCTCGAGAAGTCAACGGATGGAGGATTTCGTAGGGACACAGTTCGATTTACGGACTGCGCACTTGAGCTTTTGCTTTTTGGTTGTTTATAATGATTCACAGAATCATCTCTCGGTTAGAAGTCGAGGCTGAGAGTACATGATACACCGGTACGACGAGCAATGCGATCGATCAAATGTTTCCGACTCATTCGACTTTGCTGTTTATCTATATTGACTGTGTGCTCCTGCCAGCCATGCCCGATACCACCACCATCACTCTCACCTCACGATGCCGCCAAAGAACTTGCATACTACCGGTCAGGGCGAATGAGATGAATCGAGGCTAAAGTAGGCTGGTCGACTCTTGTAATCCCTCATCAATAAGAAAGCTATTGCGATCGTACAGTGAGATATCTGTGCTCGTGGTGAATCTTACGGCGAAGAGAATCATCGGCAACCTACCCTAGGTACATGGGTACCGGTAGGCCTGGTTGGTAGTGACACACAGTCAAAGTTGGTACCCAAATAGCACAGTCAAAGTGACAGTTCTTAATCAGAGAGCTTAGATTAATGATCGGTATGAATCGTAAAGTATCTGACAGGCCGGGAGTCCCTCAAGTCTAACGACAACACTACACCAATTTCCAAGACGACTTCGCCTTGAACAAATCAAATGAGAGACCCCAAAGCTCGTCCGCCTTGTAACATAACGGGAGCACTTCACTTTTACTCCTTCGTTATTCCAATGATAAGTTGATGATGTGAAGTGACCTGAATTGTGGTCTAGAGACACGAGGTTGAAGTTGGCTTCCGGTCTACAGCCGATAATCCCCCGATTTTTGGGCTAGTCCATGGGCTCTTGCGTCACACACACCCCTGATAGGTATCGGCGACCCATTCCCGTCTGCAGCTGCGGGGCCGAACGAGCGGGGCCCATGTTCTTCTCGAAGCTGTCAGCATGAATAATCCAATCCTAAGCACCGCATTTGCGAAAAAATCGTCCAGTCATCGCACGCGGTGGCGCCTCCCTTAGGTAACGGCTTAGACAGCTTCACTGGGTGCATGTGTAAGACCCTCGCAGCAGTTTGTCCAGATGCAGATAGTCGCAATGGGCACCACATATAAGCTTGCCCGCGAGATTTCCAAATGCTGAACAACAATCCTCAAACCAGATCGAATCTTGATTCTCGACCATACTAGCGCTGTCCATCCATTGATTTTTCGTGAGAGGCCACTCGAGCATTCAAGTATATATGCCTCGCATCGTGACCCTCACTGCGATTTTCGCTGTCTTCATTTCCATCATCATCTTCAACACCCAGCTAAAGAGCTTCTTCATAGACATCACCTCTCAACTCACCACAAACACGACAAACAGTAGTGCAACGCTGTCTTCATCCACCCAAGACAACACACCAGACTCTTCTATGCTCAACGCAGTCAAAAACAACATGTCAAAGACCCTCCACCACGCAAAGATCACGCCGCACCGCAGCGGCACCCGCGGCCACTCGGACCACGGCTGGCTCAACACCTACCACAGCTTCTCCTTTGCCAACTGGTACGACCCGCGCTTCAACAACTTTGGCAGCCTCCGCGTCCTCAACGAGGACCGCGTCAAAGCCAACTCGGGCTTTCCCACCCACCCGCACCGCGACTTTGAAATCTTTAGCTACATCCTCTCGGGCGAGCTCACGCACCGCGACTCGATGCTAACAAAGGGCGACGAGGGCGGGCAGAGCGACAAATTCTACCGCATGCACCGCGGCGACGTCCAGTTTACCACGGGCGGCACCGGCATCGCGCACTCCGAGTTCAACGAGCACCACAAGGACACGGTGCATTTCTTACAAATCTGGGCCGTCCCTTGGAAGAGGGGTCTCCCGCCCACGTATCACACGCGCCATTTCGCCGACGAGGATAAGCGCAAGGGGTTCGTGACGATTTTGTCACCGCTCAAGGCTGGGTCCGAGGCCTCGGCGGCGGAGGAGAAGGCTGCGGAGCCGCGGATCCCGGATACGATTCCTATTCACGCCGACTTCGTCATGGGCGCGGGTATCATTGCGCCCGGGGCTGACGGTGCTTTTGAGTGGGTTGTCGGCGGCAAGGCGACGGAGCAGACGAAGCGCAAGGTGTTTGTGCACCTTCCCATGACCAAGGGCGGCAAGGCCAAGATTAGGATTGATGGCCGCGAGGATGCCGTCTTGTCTGAGGGTGACGGCGCGTTTGTTGATGCGGTCAACGCTGGGGATAAGTTGAAGGTTGAGAGTATTGGTGAGGCCGAGGCGGAGGTTGTCGTCTTGGATACGGCATAAAGGAAGTTTTGGGCAGAAAAAGGGAATACCATGTGCTAGATTAGATCTGTTTACGAGCGAAACAAAAAATATATCCAAATATACTTGCCTGACAATTTCATCTTGATTAGAAATTACGTCGATCCGGGGATGGCCTTCATCCTGGTATCTTTTTCTGGTGACCCATGACGATGCTGTTGGTCTAGAAATAGATGGATCTCATGTCCCTGTGAGATAATCTGGGGTAAGGAACTTGGCATTCTAAGGTGTTGGATACCCATGGGTGTCGGCCTCGGCAATGCAATTCTGCGAAAAGGCGAAGAAACGGAAAGGAAGCGAATGTTTCTCACTACTCTCTAGAATTCCTCTCGTGTGATCATTGTTGCTAAATTTGGCGGCCCGCCAAGATCGAACCCGCTCTGCTCGAAGAATATGTGTTGTTGAGACAAATCAAGGAACAGTTGAGATATAGACTAATCCAATCAGTGAGCCAGCCAGTCTGGGGTTATAGAGAGAAATAATGAATGCGCATCGCTCGTCCGATCAACATAGCTGTCAAATCCAGCCGAGTCATGATGATTGGTGAAATCTGGATACTAAGTAAGTATTTGAGGCGGAGACGATGTGAAGTGAAGATATTGTGGACCGCCTCATTATGTTAGTACTTGATGAACCATAGTGGCGGCGTACCGTACGAACCTCAGATTTCACTGTGATATCGTACATGCTATTAGGGCGTCATCGACAGTGCGAAAACGCCGAGCGTGCGGGGGATCTGGTTGTAAATCAACTCCAAATTTTCATACTTTGTCATCCAAACTCAGCATCACCTCAAAAAGAAGTTCTCCGTCACCTCAGCATAAGCGCCAAAGAGTCCGAACGGCACACTCTTTGAAAAGTCTCTCGCCATGCATCTCCAACCCATTGACAATACTGAAATCGAGCCATTCACCAGCGCCATGGACGACCCCCACATCACCATCCTCCCAGAGGGCCAGCAGTCCCAAGAGACCTTTGACGACGTCTGGGGCTCTGAGCCCGGCTCGCCGAACCACCACGCCGGCCACAACAACTTTGCCCAAGATGCGGCAAGCGCAGCACCCATGGGGACGCACCCGGGCGACATGCCGCGCCTGCAGGCCGAGCACACCAATGCCGGCTACCGCGAGGGCATCTCCGCCGCCAAAGCCCACAGCATCCAGGCGGGCTTCGACGAGGGCTTCAGCCTCGGCGCCGAGGTCGGCTCACTCGCGGGCCAGATTGTCGGCCTTTTTGAGGGCATCGCCGCCGCACTAGACGGCCACGGCCACGATGAGGATGCTTCAAAGAAGGCCCGCCAAACGTTGGACGAGGCCAAGGCGGAGCTCAAGATTGACTCCATCTTTGGACCGGCGTACTGGAACACCGACGGGACCTGGAAGTTTGACGTCGAGGGCGGCACCAATGGTGGTGACGACGAAATCCTATTCGCGGACGTGGCTCGTGCCCACCCCCTCATTCGCAAATGGCAAAAGGTGGCCGACGCCGAGATTGAGCAATGGGGCATCCTCCTCGAGGCCATTGGCGACGCGCAGGACCACGAGAGGCAGCCGAGCCCGGAGCGGGCACCCAGCTCCGCGGTGCCGCAGACCAAGAAACCTCTCGACTGGTGAGGTTTGCTTTTGCCAGCGGTTGCCGCTCCATTGTGCAATGCACAAGGAGGCACCATCATCGCATTGCCGTGCGCTACTCGCGACAACCGAATTTTCACCAGGTTTTCATGCGAATGAGTCTTCGGGCCGAGCTGACACTCTTTCGATAAAGAAGGGAGAGAAAAAGATCTCACTTACAGAACTGCCCAGGTCCTATACCACGAATGCGCAAGAGCCATCATCGGTTTCCAGTAAGTTGCTATAGCGTCAATGGCTATGCTCAGGTGGAGACGACTTGACTAAACTGAACACACAGCTGATCCGATCAAATTGCATTAATATTACAAACTTGATATTACTTCGGCTATTTGGGTTTCCCGCGGACGACGACGAGAGGGGACGGGAACCCCCCGACTTCCACTGCTCGCTAGGGTAGAGTTAAATTCGGACTTTGACCAAGACCCCATCATTTCGCAAGACCTTGCCCTCCTTGTGCTGCCGACGTGTGTCGACTATATGGCACAGTAGCCGGAGCCGGACATGAGCCGCAAAATTTCGACGACAACCCTCAAGCCCTCCTGTGGCTTGTTTACAGTTCATGACGAGGCGAACCATCCACACGACTCTGTTGGTGGTTTCCTATTTTTGACAGGAGCTGGACGAGAAGGAGAGGACGCAGCCAAGCAACACTGTTTAGACGAAAATGCGGTCATGACCACCTGTCAAAGTCGACAGCGACAAGGGAGGACGTTGCGGGCTGCAAAGTTTTTCCAGGGCCAAATGATACCGAGAAGCATTCTGTTGGAAATGATCTCGCACATGTAGTCAAGAAGCTGGATGAATCTCAATACTACCTACCTTACTCTCTGCATAAAGGAGAGAAACCTGCATAAAAGATTCCCACATCATTGAAAATGGGCCATACACCAATGCACTACTCAACAGCCTTGAGGCTGAGGACCATTAGAAGATCCGTCTTAAGCGCCGAAGCCATCATCGATTCCACTGCCACCAATAGGCAGGCAGGTGTGTTAGGCCTGGAGACCTCAGCGCGAGGAGCGGAGGGGGAGGCCACCAGCAACCCTCGCTGACATCATCCCACAACACCCGCACCATACGAACGAGCACTACGCAGTAAATCCCACAACTTTTTCGGAGTTCGCGAAGAAGAGATAGTGGCTGCCACACCTACACTCGATGCTTTGACCCCTTGGAAATTGGCCAAACTCATGGGATAACCAAGGGTTATGGTGTTTCGAAAGTTCGGATGACGGGCTGTGCTGCCTCACAACTGGAGGGGTCAGCCCATCTCGAGTCCAAAGGTCTCTTTAAGCTCAACACCATTCGAGACGATTTCTGCAGGGATATTTACGATTAGCGTACCATAGTGGCATAGCAGAGTGGCATTACCCCTGGTTGTCGGACGAGGTGACATCGTCTTTTCCCCTTCCACCCTCATTGACCTTGTTCCCCGGGGTCGCTAGGATGAAGATCTTGGTGATTCGTGAAAAAGGCTGCGTTACACAGGGATCCTGAGTGATCCCATCTGCCGAAGCATGCTCCGTCCCTGTATCAGAGGCTCATGCAGAGCAGCAGCTGCGCCCATCTCCATCTCCATCTCTGGCCTGCTGTGCTCTTTCAACCACTCTGTTCCCTCTGTTCTTTTTCCGAATCGGGGGACGGGAGCTGGGAAGAAAACAAGGCCCTTCCAAGTACATCTCCCCGTATCCGTACCTGTCGTCCCATTTTTGATCGCGACGTAATTTTAGCAAACGTCCATCCGAAGCTTGGTGATCCCGTCCATGGTCCTTGTGATCGTTTTCCTCCCTCTCCCAGGCTCCCCCTGATCTTCGTCAAGAGATGGGCTAACCAATCATGGAGATCTTCGACATGCAATGGAGGCCTGCGGGGCGATGCCTCTTTTTCAGCCCCTTTAGATGGGGCGGCGTCCAAAGGAGGGCAGGCCTTTTTCTCTCCATGTACGTACGGATACTACTATGTACGGCGGAATAATGACATGATGTTTAATCAAATTAGCTTAGCTCCATTTAGTGACCTACCCAAGGTACACCCGTGAGTCTATTCGCGATGTTGGGCTTAGCGGCTTTGCGCCCCCTGGCCACCCTCCTCCTCTCGATGTCTCCGCCATCGTCACTTAAACCCCCTGTATGAGAATTCCGAGATGGGGAAGGAAGAAAGATAGAAAAGGAACAGCTCTTCACCTTGTTTCTCGACTTCCCTTTCCCTCTTTCTCTCTTCAGTATCTCTGATACCAATTACTTTCGCTAATATCTTCAATATCGCCCCTGGTCTCGTTTGCTCTCTCTCACTCTATACACTTCCCTTTTTACTTTACAGTAAACATTCATTCTTTCTCCTATCCAGAGCAAACCAAATCCCCACACACCCACACACACACACACACACACACAATGCGCTACTCGACCCTCACAGTCCTCGGCCTCGCAGCCATCGCCCGCGCAACATGGGACGGCCAATTTAGCTACCCACCAGGCATCGAGCCCCTCGGCCTTGCCAACGGCAACGCAGACTTTAACATCAAGACCTTCGGCCCCCTCACGGGCCCGCCCTCAGACTGCATCTCCGTCTGGCACCCTCCCCACCCAGACGTCTACATTGACGACTGCGACAGCGACAAGGAGCACGGCTGGCACTGGGTCCACCCGGGCAAGCCCAAATGGGGCAAGCCAGGCAAGGACAAGGACGGCCACAAGTGGAAGAAGCCAAAGCACACAAAGGAACCCGGCTGCGACAAGTGCTCCCCGGAAACCACCGAGCCACCCTCGGCCCCGGAACCCACTGAAACCCCCGACCAGCCCGACCAGCCGGAGCAGCCCGAGCCCACCACCACGCCGCAGTCCTGGAAGTGGACCACCTCCACAATCACCCAGACCGCCGTCTCCACAATCTACAGCTGCCCGCCCAGCGTCCCCAACTGCCCCGGCGACGGCAGCGGCGGCGGCACAATGTACGAGACCGTCACCGTCCCCGCCGTCGTCACAATCTGCCCCGTCCCCGTCGCGCCCAACCCGGGCCCGACCACCGCGCCCGTGGCTCCCCCGGCGACCACCGCGCCAGCGGAGCAACCGGCGCCCAGCAACCCTTCCCCTCCCGAGACCCTCTCCTCCGTCGTCATCCCGCCCGTCTCATCAAACCCCCCTGTGGTCCCCGTCCCTCCCGTCTCCTCTGCTCCCCCCGCTGCTACGACGACCAAGCCCGATTCCGTCGGCACCGTCACCAGACCCAACCCTACCGCGACCACAAGCCGCGCCGTCGTCACCGCCGGTGCTGTGCAGAACGTTCAGCGCGCCGGTGGTGTGGTCGTCGCCGTGGTGGCTGCCGCCGCTGCCTTTATCTGAATGGAATCTTCAGTGCTTTTTTTTTTTTTTTTTGCTTTTTGCTTTTCATCATGTTACTAGAGAGGAAAGACAATGCGTTGCTTTGTGATCCAGGCATAGAGGGTGATATACCATGGGAGCTTGGGGTACAATGGGACAAAATAGGGATTAATGACTGGGAAAATCAACGAACGGGAATCTGGGGGGTTTCAGTCGGACACGATTGGGTTGGCTCCTCGGGCTTCGCAACTTTGGGCGAAGGAGGATATCGGCTCTGGCGTCTGAGAAACCCAACTTAATTAGTTAAGGCTAATATAATGGGTTGTATACTTTTGATTACAATGCTTGTTCCATCATCTTTTACTCGTGTAAAGTGCCACCAATGATGGAATTCCGAAGTTGGTTCCTCGGAAACAAGATCAATGTCTCAGACTAACATGGCTACAGCGGGTATGACACGCACACCAAGTAACCTTGTACTCATCCATAGTCGTGTTGCCCTTAGTGTTGCCCTAGGTGTTGTCTTCTTGCCGCATGGCTCTGGTCGGGTCCTGCGGATCAACGGCAGATCTTCAGGTCGCGGGGTACCTTGGGTCGATCTGTTTTTGACATGATCCACTTTGCAGCCGCCACCATTTACTCGCATGTCGATTGAGTTGCGGATGGAGTTTGTGGCTGCATGACCTTGCAGATTGAGCGCAATATGCTTATGTTTGCGTTCAGGCCAGGTTGCGGATGGCTCGGAGGGTCACGCATGAGTCGAGCGGACAAATGCGATTTTCCGGCGCGAACGGCTTTCCAGCACATACTCGTCTCACTCAGGCGGACTTGCTGATCTGGCTGCCTTCAGTTGAGGTCCGTCTCGCAGGGTATTCGTTGAAGGCCGTAAACATCGTCCCTGCGAAACTATTGAGGGGCTGATTCCTGCTGTCGCCATACGAAGGGTCTTTGGCCCACGAATACCTTTTCGTAGAAGCGTGTTTGTCGTATCTGATTCAATCCTCAAGATGTTGCCAACCGCTTTGCGATATCTTCTACGCGGCGATTGTCACCTAGAAGATCTCTCGTGGTCTCTCGATCACGTCCCGCCATGCCGAGAATGACGAGCTTTTGAATCTGCCCGTCTTCGCTCATGACCAATCTGCCCGCCCTGCCATCGGCCCATTCGATGCTGATCTGCTTGGCTTCAATGTCTGCGGCAACGACGCTTGTGACCGCCTGCTCGGAGTCGTCTCCCTCGCTACCGGCGCCCACCAGCCCAGCCGCCTTTTGCAGATCGCCAATCACAGCAGTGCGGTTATGGTATCTTACAATTTCCTTCCTCAGCGTTCGCACGAAGCGAGATAAATCCTGGACCTTCTGATCTTCGGCGTCGGCAGGCTTGGGCGCAGGGAGATGGCGAGCGGCGAGTGCAGCAAGCGGGATGCATGGAGGTACCGTATGGCGATGAACACGCAGGTGTCGCGAGTCTTTGTATGGTCGATTGAGCATGACATAGTATGGTCGTCGGAACTTGGCGCCAGACATGATTTCGATGCGAATGCCGAGAACGCTGCCTCGATCAACGGCATTGGGGTCGGGGTCTTTGACCTTGAACGTCGTTATGGTTGCGCAGGTTCTGTACAGACATTGCTGGTCGTGCGCGTCTTGGGCTTTGGATCGGGAGAGGACTTGGTCGCGGACGGCCTTGGATTCTGAGGGGAGTGCAATCGCGCTGCGTTTCTCATTGTCTTCTTTGAGGGCGTTTCGTATCGAATCGGACGAGAGGAGGGCTGTGGCCTGGACCTTTAATTCCTTCTTCAACGAGTCGGCTGAGCGCATCGAAAGTTAGCATACGGGCAAGGATAGTCTTGGGGAATGACTACCTTTCACTCGAAGGTCATTGATCTCTTGTTCGAGAGCCTCTGCAGCAGCATCTGGAAGTTCACCAGACATTTTGTCCGTTGTGGGTGTGGAAAGGAGGGAATTGCGCTTTCTTCGGCGGGGAGAGCACAGTTGTCGCAGTCGTAGTTGACGATGACGTGATTGGGATCCTGGACGCGATCGACGCGTCTTGGTGAAGTTGACAATTGAATTGGTTGCCAAGCAGCGCAGTGCAAGACACACTTGAACCCAGTCAACAAAACGTCCCGACAGCGCGGAATGCGAACAGTGGGGAAGCTTATCTAAGCGGTTATCTTATCAGTGATTACCTTATGTACCTACCTTAGGTACCTTATGGCGCCAAATGAGGCATGGCGCCAGGGGTCCCAAGGGAGCTCGCCGGGCGGCGGGTGGCTTTCCACTCGAGTGGAGCGCGTCTGGACCTGGATAAGCTTCTTTGAATCTTCTCCCCAATTCCCGTCTGCTTCACCCCGAGGCATCGTCGCAACAGGAACACCTTTTCTTGCTGTGTTGATTTGCTTCTGTCAAACTCACTACTTGTCGGTCCACTTGGGACTTGAGTTCTTTTTACTATCACATCTCATTCTGATCTATCATTTCCATCGTTTTTCAAGACCCCGCAACGTCCAACTCGACCACTATTCCATTCCTTCTTTGCCACTGGCGTGTTCTCAAAAGTGTCAAAGGCCACGGTTGCGCTTCCACTGTTCCCCGAACATCGCCCTTTTCCACCCTTCCTTCTACCAAACATACTTGCGCACATAAAAACAAGCTCTCGATCGCTTGGGTGCCTAGCGCTATACCGTCTGTCATTGGTCTAAGCTGTTGTTTAAGACAGCGTCGCCTTGACTGCCACGGACTCTGCTCCACCCCGCCCTTGACCCCGTCTGGTGGTCTTCGCTGGACAGACAAAGAACCTTTTTCTTTGCTCACGACTCCCGACTTGTCGCATAAAGTCTTTTTTTTTTCTCTTTCTCTCAAACCACCTCTTACATTTCGACACAACCGCTCTCAACCGAGACCTCGAATTCTACTGCATACCAGCATTGCGCCGCAAGCTCCAACCGAGACATCCCTCAACTCTAAGCCAAGCACAAATGAGCGTCCGAACACGCCGAAACAAGTCCGTCAAGCGAAAAGCTTTGGCCGATCTAGCTGTAGACACAGACGGCACGAACGGTCACGCCAACGGCGCGATGAACCAGAACAACGTTGAGTTCCGGCGGAAGGCGACGACTCCCGGCTCCGACACCGTAACCGCGAACCTCATGTCGCGCGAATCCTTCACCCTCGACGACCCCGTCCCAAAGACACCCATCGCCAATAACCATGGCTTCTTTGAGTTGCCGTTGCAGGACCAGAGAAACTTCCTCCTGCTGGTGCTCCTGTACTTCCTACAGGGTGTGCCCATGGGTCTTGCGGGTGGTTCGGTTCCCTTCCTAATGAAGGACCACATGTCATACAGCGAGATTGGGATCTTTAGTTTAGCTTCATACCCATACTCGCTGAAGCTTCTCTGGAGTCCCATCGTAGATGCGGTCTGGAGCCCCAAGGTTGGACGCAGAAAGAGCTGGATTCTCCCCATTCAGCTGCTTTCAGGACTGGGTATGCTCTGGCTCGGATCTACCGTCGAGAACATGATGGCCAACACCGGCAAGCCTGGAGGTCCTACCGTGTGGAACTTCACCGGCTGGTGGTTCTTCCTCGTCTTTATGTGCGCCACGCAAGATATCGCTGTAGACGGCTGGGCTTTGACTCTCCTGACGCCCGGCAATGTGTCGTATGCCTCCACTGCGCAGACAGTCGGTCTCACTGCCGGCCACTTCTTGTCCTACACGGTGTTTTTGGCCTTCAACTCGAAGGATTTTGCAAACCGCTACTTCCGCAGCTCTCCCCTGGACCACGGTCTCATGTCCCTTGGTGGGTACCTGACTTTTTGGGGCTGGGCTTACATTGCCATCACCATTGGGCTCTCTCTCTTCAAGCGTGAGGAGAGAACCAAGAATGAGGACGGCATTTGGGATGTGTACAAGATCATGTGGGGTGTTCTCAAGTTGAAGAACATCCAGACCATTATTATTGTTCATCTCATTGCCAAGATTGGCTTTCAGGCCAATGACGCGGTTACCAACCTGAAGCTCATCGACAAGGGATTCGGTCAGGAGAACATGGCCCTGACGGTCCTCATCGATTTCCCCTTTGAAATCGCGCTTGGCTACTACGCCGGCAAGTGGTCCCAGGAATACACGCCTATGCGCCTATGGTGCTGGGGCTTCATGGGCCGCCTCGTCGCTGCTCTGATCGCTCAATTCACCGTCACCATTTTCCCGGCTGGCGGCGTTACTCCTTGGTACATGCTAGTCGTCATTGGCGAGCACGTCTTCTCGACCTTTACCAACACGGTCATGTTTGTCGCCGTCTCTGCTTTCCACGCTAGAATCGCAGACCCCGTCATCGGCGGCACTTACATGACTCTCTTGGCTACGTAAGTTTACCCTCGGATTATCGTTTGACCAACTTCCTGTGCTAATATGATCTCCGCAGCGTCTGCAATCTTGGCGGCACGTTCCCCCGCTTCTTCGTCTTGCGTCTGGTCGACTACTTCACTGTCGCGACCTGCAAACCCGGCAACCCTGCGGATCTGAACGCCCTCAAGGGCCCCGTCATCACCGACCCCTTCTCTTGCTCCCTGCAGCCAGACAAGGAGAAGTGCGTCAACGGCGGTGGCACGTGTGAGATGGTGCGCGACGGATACTACTTTGTCAACATCATCTGTGTCGTCTTTGGCGTGGTTACGTTCATGCTCTACATCCGACCTAGAGTCCTGCATCTGCAGTCCCTCCCTATGAGAGCCTGGCGTTTGGCGCCGTCCAAGTAAGGGAACTTACGTTGCGCAGAAAATAAAGGGGATGTTGTACATGTATCATATTAAGCATCACGTAGCGCGCACGGTTTGGAGTACCTTTCATAGAGAGAGCGAGAGAAAGACAAAGAGGGAAGCAATTGTACTTGATATGCTTTTTTTTTCATTACCATTTGATGCGCGCTATGCCGTTATATACGTGACGCTTGCCCCAAAAAAGTCTTGCCAGAAAACATGAAAATCCTTTCTCGCTCGCTGACACAACACATTTCTCAATCCCCCGGTCTCTCTACTTCTACAACGACTCAATGTGCTGCGAATGCAAATCCTGCACAGCAGGGATAATCAAGCTCTCGATCTCGATCTCTGGGTCACTCTCCGGCAGCGCGCTGGGGTCAAGCGGCTTGTCCTCCCACGTTCCCCCACTCCCCGCCGACGACGACGCACGCTGAATACTCGGCACGCGGACCCACCGGTCCGGCCTACCGGGCGCGACGAAGACGACCTCCCACTTGCGCGTGGACAGCAGGTTGCCGATGACGAGGTGGTGCTGGTACCGCTCGAGGGAGTATTTGGCCTTGTGCACGAGGATGGCCGGGTCCGTCTCGAGCTTAAAGCTGACGACCATGCCCTTGGGGGCCCAGCCGTCGACGAGGTTCTGGAGGAACTTGGGGACGGGGTCGAGGTCGATGACGAGGGATTTGGATTTTGCTACCTTGGTGGAGTCGAAGTTGTCAAAGGCCTCTTCGTCTTCCGTGTTGGAGGCGTTGCCGTTGCCGTTGCCGGTGCTGGTGCTAGTGGGTTTGGCTGTGGTTTTCGTTGTAGCTGATCCTGCTCCAGAGAAAGAATCCGTGGCGTTGGTGGACTGGATCTTGTGCTCAGCCATTCTGTCCTGCGGCAGGAAGAAGTCAGACACCGCGGCGGCGAGATAGAGAAGCGCCGACGGGCCGAGAGGTCTCAACAGCCCTGCAATAGCGCGCAGCTCAAACAGATAATCCGTAATCGTCGTAAATGGCAGCATGAGCAGCATATTGCCCCTCTTGGCCGCGGTATACTTGCGTAGCACCTCCCGCATGCGCTCCTGGTGCGCCGCGTTCGCAACAACGGTGCCGTCCTCGCCCTCGGCCAAGAAATCCAGGAAACAGTCCGTGGCGTGGGAGTAGTGGCGCGAGTACGGCTGCAACGAAAACTGGCGGTGCAAGAAGATGACGGCGTAGCCGGCCTCGAGGAAGTACTCGGCCGAGGTGGCGCCACGGGTGCCCGCGGAGAAGTTGTCGATGAAGCGGACCGTCTGCTTCTCGAGGGGCACGGTGGTGCCGCCCGAGGTGACGAGGACGATGCGCCGGCTCGAGGTGGCGTGGTGGTCGATGAAGGAGCGGGCGGCGGCGACGTGGGCGTCTAGGTTTTTGGGGGGCGGTTGGGAGGAGAAGTAGGCGTCTTCTTGGCGTTCTGCCGTTTCTGTGGGGAGCGACATTGTGTGTTTCCTTGGAGGTGAGCGTGATGAAAGGAAATATGATGTTCAAAAATCGTCTCAGAGTAGTGGTAGCTGTTAATGTGTTGAGTGACGCGTGGTGGTGAGATTCGTGAGACCTTGGTGGCAGGGAGACTGGTGAGAGGGGCCGTCCGGATGTATGAGTAAGACCTGAACGGTGTCAGTGACTTGATATACAAAGTTGATATTTCCGGTAGCTGTATTCGTCCTCATTGATGCCCAAAAGTATGGCGTATACGGGGTACGAAAGATAAGAACCCATCTCCATTACTCGGCCCATTACCTCCGCCGGGCCTCGGTCCTCCGGCACCCATTCTCTCATATGACGTGTCTTACACGTAAACTCACCTTGTGATATATAGTGTCTTTCTAAGTTTCAATAGAGTCAATCTTGAAGACGTGTATGAGGTTGTGTCGAATGCTCTATCTCCGGAGAAACTCCGTACCACAACAATTATTGAAAACAAGAAATCAACCGCAATGAAGAGAGATTGAGAAACGCAGCGAGGGTTTTAAACCGTCGTTTCCAGCGCCGGTTCGGTTCCTCCGCACGGGCCGAAGGAGGCCCGTGCCCCACCGACCCGCACCTCCGGGATGGAATCTGCTGCGGATTTCTGGGAACGTATTTGCTTCGGGGCTTCGCAACGACGTCCCGTCGGCGTTCACGTCGTTACAACCGCGGTTCAAAATCTCGACACAAAGTGACTCAGAGCCGGGTAGGTATCATTCGATGTTCATTCGGCACCGATAGCCGATTATGAGAACTTCCCATTTGGGATTGGAAAAAATAAAAACAGGCAAATGTGAGGTAAGCTTACATCATTACAATTTACGCCGGGTCTAGTCTTCATTATATGTACAATTCTCATCATAAGTGCCTCTTTGATATCCAATCCCTTTTTATGTGCCAAGACCTCGAAATTTTCCTTCGTAACAAAGTGCGCCTATCCGAATCTCTTTCTTCTTCTTTATTTCTTTTTTTCATCTAAAAGTTGCCCCAAATAACCTTTCCAACACACACAAACTTGGCAGCCATGAGCGCCACCAAGGCCAAAACATAAACCAGCCCGGTGAAGATGATGAGACCCCAGTACTGGCCCCCCGTCGCCGTGACAATTTCGCCGCCAATAGGAATTCCTATCAGGCAAGCGATCGACACGGCGGTATACGTCGTCGAGTAGTACCGCCCGTAGTGCTGCGTCTTGCACAGCCGCCCGACGCACACAGGGCTGATGCTGATGTTGTTCCCGCTCGCGAACCCAAACAGCACGGCAAAGACGATGACGCCCGCCGCCGTTGAGCCCGCGGGCAACCAGACGGCCAGGCACGCGACCACGGACAGCATGATGGCAGCCATATTGCTGTTAAATGGCCCGGCCCTATCGGCCCACCACCCGGGTAGCGCCCTGCCTAGAACGCTGCCGGCGTTGAGGATGGGCAGGATGGAAAAGGCAAAGGACTCGCTGAAGCCTTGGCTGAGCGTATAGCTCGAGATGTACGTCAGCGGGATAAACAACGCAAACTCCATCAGAAAAATGCCCGCCGTCGTGAGGCTGAAGGCCGCGCTGCGGAAGATGCGCGGGTCCGGGTGCGGGCTCGCGTTGCGGGCGGGCGGGAGGCGGGAACGTATCAAGAAATTGGAGGCGCCGCAGAGGGCGAGGCAGATGAAGCCGACGGCGCGGATGGTCCAGCCCCAGCCGATGCGGGGGAAGAGAGACTTCATCATGAGGGGGAAGACGATGCCGCCGATGGAGCCGCCGGTGGAGGCCATGCCTGTCGCGAAGCCGCGGCGGCGCTTGAACCAGTGGCCAACGGCTGCGATGGACGGGGTGAAGACGAGGGAGCTGCCGAGGCCGCAGAGGATGCCGAAGGCGAGCATGAAGTGCCAGTATACTGGCAAAGAGAGAGTGTGTCAGCGCGCTTGCCATGATATCTGATTCACTCGAAGAGGATGCATGGAGCGATGCAAGTCATGGAGGGAGTGGTAATATGACGCGCCGCAACAAGGCGAGCCGATGCAAGAATTTGTGTGTACGACTTACCTGTGCAGATACTCAGCAACATGACGCCGATGACAAGACACACCGTCCCAGCGAGAACGAGCCACCGCGGACCATACTGATCAAACACGGGGCCGATGTAGATACCCCCAAAGAAGCAGAGGAACGTATACACGGAAAAGATCCACCCAATCGTTCCCTCGCTGTACCCCTTGAGCTGGTGCGTCGCGACGTACGTCTGGAAGATGGCGATGCTGTTCATGATGCCCAGGGCCGAGAAGAGCGCCAGCCAGGACCCCAGCACGACGGACCACGCCCGTAGCCCGCCCTCGGGGTAAGTTTCCTCCTCTGCTGCTGTCGTCGAGGCGGCCCCCGCGGTGTCAGTGCGGTGGATGTAGTTGCCGTTGTCGTCGTCGTCGGTCGTGTCACCGGCACCCCCTTCTCCTCCGTCCCCTCCGGCTTCCTTGCTGTAAGTGGCATTGTTATTGTTCTTGTTGCTGTTGTTGATGAAATCGCTGCTGCATTGGTGATGGTAGTTGGCGCCGCCTGCGCCGGCGACGGCGTTGGAGACGGAGGGAATCAGGTCGTTGCCTATGACCGCCGCGGCACCGTTGTGGGCCGCGCTCTCTGGCTTGCTGGGGAGCGGGTAGTCATAGCTGCTGTAGTCCGGTTCGGGTGTAATGTGGTCGCCTTGGTGGGCTGTGGAAACCTTTTCCGGGTCCATGTGGGATGGATGGATGGATAGACGAGAGAGAGGACAAGAGAAGAGAGGAGAGCGAGCCTCCGTATTATGTCTCGTGCTGGGTCTGTCTTTGGATCTTTCCCCCTTCGATCTTCAGATCTTCTCCTTGTTCCCTCTTTCTGTTTTTTGACTTCTGCCTTGCAGTTCTGCAACCCTGTGGGCCACGTTTTCGGCTCTCTGCTTCCTTTTCCTTGTCTTCGCTTCAAGTTGCTGTCTTGTACACGAGTTCCTTTTCCTTCCGTACAACAGCCCCAACCTCAGCCTTCGAAACCTAACTCAGTCCTTTCGACGCAAAGTCGTCGCGGTAAGAGTCATAAACGGTAACAAGAGTGTCGAAGCCGAAAATATACCCGTCTCTCATAAAACAGGGACCAAGCTCAAGGAGGAGGGAAGAGTGTCGACTAATACCAACACTAATCTACTGCGGGCCGTTGCGAGAGAGGGAGAGAGCGGATCAACGAACCTACTTGTACTTTTCCCTACTAGTTCCTTTCGCCTCTTCGGTCTTTCGGCTAGAGCTGGGCCTGGTCTGGTCTGGGGTGGTGGTGGGTGAGTGGGTAGTAGGGGTTCGCGCTCCTTCGTTGAGTTTGTCGTTGGGTTAGGTGATTTGATGCAATTATCCAGTCATTTCCATGCCAATCATACACCCCGGGTTACGCACGCGGCTCCTTGGTTCAAAAGGACCATGGAACTCTTTTAGGAAGAGGCAAAAAAAAGTGTAAGTCATGCAGTCATGTATGCAAATGGCGACAGAGAGGCAAGAGGAAGGTAGAAAAAACTTTTTAACTTATTTCCTTTACCCCAGGCTTGCCTCCCCCAGGGGTCCTGCGAACGACGGTGGAATGGACAACCTAACCGATAGCCGTCTCGTTGTGTGAATAAGGTAGGTCCCGGCTTCCTTTACTAGGCCGGGATAGGGCTGGTTTACGTGAACCTCACTAGTTCTTTGGGTTTCGTAAGGTATTACCATACTACTACACAGTAGAAGAGAAAAGGATTCGCGAGTTCGCGTTTTCCTGATGGTAATTGCTTGATGTGGGTAATTCAACCGAACCAAACCCCGGCCTTATTTCCCTCTTGTTCTTTTTGTTTTTTTTGGCCATCCGTCTTTTCAGATCGACATATGCCTTTCAGGCATCTCTCACACCATGCGCCGCTCTCTTTCATTTTACTTTACGCGGTTAGGCTATTAGCATGATATTGGTGGGAATAAACTGAACAACCCCGGGGAATTGGTCATGCTGTCTGTCGACATGTGCCCTTTTCTGACAAGTTCATGTTAGTCAAGGGCGTCGTTCGGGGCGGCTCAAGACGAAGTCGCGAGCCCAAAAACTGACCAATGGCGTATTTCAATTAGTCGATGAAAACCCAACTTCAAGAGGTCTGGACTTTTGGTTGCCGAGAATCGGCGTCTCCAAAAGGCAGTGAACCCCACCACCGAAACCAAACAATACCAAGAATTATCATGAATCAGTCAGTCCTTTTGGCCCAGCAGACCAGATCCGACCCATGACACACTTGTCCAACACCGAACGTGCCTTGAGTCTCTGAGACAGGTAGATCCGTAGACACATACTCGGAACACTCTCTCCTGGTCTGTAGAGCCGCATACTGCAAGACATAAAGCAAGAATGCCTTACAAGACGACCACCCTTCAGGTTTGGGGGGGGGGGGGGACTTACTTACCTCATACAGCATATACGGCATACCGCACTGTTTGTGTTAAGTGCCTAGCCTCCTCGGCTCCCGCTTCTCTAGACGAAAGAAACAACACTGCCATTGAACCACAAATTATCGAACAACGCAATCATGACATTATATCCAGGACGCTATGTCCAATGATAATCCTCCCCCCAAATGTCTTTCTCTGATCGAGATCTGAGGAAGAACAAAAAGGACATAACAATTGCTCATCCTTACTCAAATCAGATAGTGTATGACACCTTCAACTATCGTACACAAGCGAACAAAGTGGTGATTTCACTGTTGACTTGAAAATCCATGACCCGCTCAGTAGAAGCGAGATCATGCCGTTGATGAGAATGCACGTTTGAGAAACGGAGGAGTCATCAACGGCACCCGGCCGGCAGCGGAAGATAAAAAGAAAAAGTCAGACTCTGTTTCGCTCGCCGGCTCAACCCCACCTTCCCGTCGCTCACCTGTGCTACGTATTAGGAGGCATGCGCTTTCCAATTCGGTTCCCGCCAGCCGCCGACGCTTCACATCGACCCTCGTGTCCTTGGTATGCCCGCCCGCCCACGCCGGCTCCGGCCGCGTCACAACTCGACAGCATTCCCCCCCTCGCCCTCCTCCCCAAAACCGCCCAAAGAGGTAAGGTAGTACCTCAAGTAGTATGGGGTTTCCGCCGCACTGTAGGATGAACCCCAGCCATAGCTTAAGCCTCAAGCATCAAGCCACGGTCTCACTTGCTTACCTACATTATGATACATCCGCTCCAGTCAATCTGAATCTGTGCACTAGCTACCAACTTACCTGACTATGATCCGCTCGCGGCTCACTCAAGAAAGTTCGAGGTTACCTTGCCTCGCCCTCGCCCGCCCCCCTCACAAGCGACCGGGTCACCAGCAACTTACCTTACCTTACCTGGGTGCCTTCCATAAGGATAGGTACCGGTACCCAAAACTTTCTCAAGTACCTGCCTTTTCGAATGCCGGTACCTCCCACGTGCTGTCGCCTTGGAACTGTCTTGGTACGTGCCAGCCAGCCCCATCCATATATTCAAACCCACAGAGTCACAGTCAATCCGGGCCTTGGAACATTACAACACGGAGAATCCCGCGCAAGGGGAAATGCCACCGCATGTCTCTTCATCCCCGCCATACCTAAGGTAGCCCGGGCATCACTCTCGTCTCACAGCTTTCTCACATTCCCCTCTTGCTTCCTCTTTGGCACTAAATCAGACCTGTCAACCCCACCCGGATCCGTCCTTTAGGAAGGAACCCACAACAGCGGAGCACCACCACAGCGCGTACCTACAATATCCGTGGAGGGTAAAGTAGGTATCCGTCCATAGCAACGCCAGAATACCAGGCTTGCCAAGGGCACCGGACGCAGCGCCGTAATCACACGAACAAATCGCATACATGCGCGCGCGGATGAACATCCGATGAGTAACCCAGAAACGCAGAGTAAAATCGGAGTACACAACCGCACCTCAGCTCAAAGCAGAACGAAACGAAACGAGCGATAAGTACCCGGGCGCATGAAAAGAAACAGATTGATCCAATGTATTCGGGTTGATGTCTCGCAAGGTCGGCAAGCCCCCATCGCAGACCGATATTTGTTTAGCCCTTACTTCCCGGGCCCCTTCACTTCTCATTACAAACCTTTCCCACTAAAAGGGGCTCCGAGGCTACCAAACGTAACAACGTCTGATCATCTCATGGTAAGGTCAAGGAACATGGAACATGGGACTTGGAAACTTGTAAAGTCCCCTTCGGAACCGCGAGTCGGAACCGATTAACCAAACATCGGCCGAAGCTTCCCCACCCCCGCCCGACCGGTCTCATTACCACTGCTCCTGCTGCCAGTGCCAGCTGGCAGCTGGCAGCTGGCAGCTGGCAGCTGGCAGTTGGCAGTTGGCAGCTGCAAGCAACAAAGGGATAAAAAAAATGCATCGTGATTTTCCACTTTCCCCTCTCTGCGCTCCCAGGTAGCTTGCCCCTCAGGACCTCCTCAACACGCGCGCGCCGTCTAGAGAGGGGAAAATAATAAGCTAAGCACAGATGGGAAAGGGTACTCGCTACGTCAGAACCTCTCCCCCCCCCTCCCCTTCTCCCCAATAGGGCAAACACCCCTCATCGACATCGACGATCGAGATCGTATAGTCTCCTGATCTTGATCGTCGACCTTCATCGCCCTTATTTTCCCCCATTGTGTCTCGTTTTTCTCTCTCCTCCCCCCCAGCCACCATTCTCTTACCGCCATTTATTGTTCCCCCCCGCGGGCCTGCAACTCGTTTAGTTGCCTGCCGGTCCCTGGCCTTGTAGGCGTAGGTACCCATATCCAGAGGCACTATCAGTACGCCCTCATGGAATCATTTTTACCCTTTCCGAAAAAGCGACCACGTGCCACGTATCCTCAGCCTCGACACTGCAGCAGAAACTACACGCTTACCTAAATGCTCATCGATCTCACGTGTCTTTGCTGTCCAACATCTTGTCCCCTGTCAGCCAACCGTGATTAATATCAGACCATGAAAGCAAACAGAGGCAAGGGCACATTCAAATGCAGCATTCGGCCCGAGTCGTCGTACATCTGCACGCCTGGTAGGGCTAGAAAGGCTGGGAATATGAGATATCGTCCGTCCCCCTTGGACGACCGTTGGAAAAAAAGGGGGGGGGGGGGAATAGGACAAAAATTAGCCCATAAAGATGGCCCCCATAGTCTGGTACGGATACCCAATTCTTCACTAGGTACCAGCGTGAAAGGGATAACACCCCTGGACTGCCTGCCTTAGTGCTTCGGCATGGACCATACCCTCCCATCAGTGCGCATCATGACGTTCTGATCGAGACATTCTCATTTGATATACAGCCGAAAGAGGCTGAAGTGAGAGCCAGCCCATCTCAACCCCCGCAGATGTTTTTGTGGGTTGACACTGTTAGGGGGGCTCGACTTGAAAAGCTTAGAGATCAACTTCTCGATGTGTTAGATGAGAGGCCAGTCACATGCTTGAGCCCAAAGAGGTGTTCGCCTCAAGCCACTGAATAATGTCGTCCTGTATTCCAGATGTAGAATCACTGGTCCTCTTGTGTGGTATCAAGAGACCCGCCATATGCCGTATAATTCGAGTTCGTTGAAATATCACGATACCTGGCCATGATGTCTGTATAGTTTGCCTCAACTTGGATTTGTCAAGAGACTCGTCCTGTGAACTCTTTTCTTTTGCGCCCCTTTTCCGGGCATAGTAAATTTCCGAAAGGCACAAATGGTGTCCTCAGATGCAACTTCATGCTTCCCTTCTGCCCGTGCAACCGCAGAACATGAATTCGGGCATTCGATGTCTCCTGCGCCCGTATTTCCATATTCTTGCCGTCCCGTCCCTCGTGCCACTATGGAACCTTAAACGAGCTATGATGTGTCAAAGTCGGCGTCGTTGCTCGTTCGTAGTCATACAGCCGTGCTGCTCCCAACGGCCCCTGGTCTCCCGATACCACGCAAAATACCGTCGTTGGTAAATCTCTGTCGCCATGGGCAGGATGTAGACCCATCGTGCCGTCGAGGAAAATGCGGCAATTGCGCAGACATTGCTGTCTTGAGCGTTGCTCATCAGTCTAAAGACGTCATCCTCATGTGAGCCCAACTGCTTCGCCCAGTCATTAGCCTCGTCCATCATACCTCTCATGCAAATAAGTGTCGGCCTTCCAAAACATGCATCGGCATCATCTCGGTTTTGTAGTGTCATCGTTCAGTAGTCGCTTAAGGGGAACCCCTGACTCATGGTGGTGTACGCCATCCACGCCATCCTGTATTTCTCCATCCACGGCACCGTCCATCTCCCCGTCCACGAGCCCCTTCACCTTGATCGACTCAGCGGGGCCAGACTGACTGCGCTCGGTAGAGATAAAGGCTTCAATCTGAAGTCTTATCGTGTCAAGAAAGGCCAGCCGAGCCGTTGCGTCGAGTTTGGAAACCGCCGATTTTCTGATATCTTGGGGTCAGCTAGTTCAACGGAGGATAAAGAAGCCATAGGGCTGAGAGTGCTATACAGTAGCTCGATTAGGGAGGAAAGATCCTCGTCGGGAGGGTCTTGGTGGTTTGTGGTTGTCTCCGATGTAGGGGGTTCGGCTTGTGCAGAAGCCAGCTGGATGAGCAGATCTGCGTTCTTGATAAACTTAACCAAATCGTCTAGATCGGTTTCTATATTCAGAGTCCGCACCCGCCTGATAATTTCGACGGATTCCGGCTCGGAGCGTATGGATAGAAGGCGGAAGAGCTCTTCAAACAGAGAAAGGCGGCGTTGAAGCTCCTCGTGTTTTGTTTTCAGGGCGGCGAAGCGTGTGACGTCGGGACCGGCATCGTACTCGCACCGGGTGCGACCCATGCCCGCGCACAAGGAACACACAGGACGTTGGCCATCGCATTTTGATTTCCTGCGACGGCATGAGGTGCAGGCGATTTTTGTCTGGGGACGTCTTCTTGGTGCAGAAGACGTGGTACCAGTGGCAGATTGCGGGGTTGTCTCCCGTTCCGACGACGCGCTGCTGGCTGCTGTTGGGCCCGCAGGTAAAAGCTCGCGCTGTGGTTTCATCGTGAGCGTTGCCACAGGACCATGGGCAGGCCTTGTGGGCAACCGAGATAGCCACAAACAGTGGAAAAGGAGGCGTAAATATTATGGGCGTAGGCGTGTAGCTGGTACGGCGAGGTCTGCGTATTCGTCGCAGTAATCGAAATGGCGCGGGTGGACGAATTGAGAGAGGGCACAGCCAGAGCCAGAGCCAGAGCGGGCCTCAACCACCAGACCAGATCCGCCCGCCGCGTCGCTTGGTAAGTCTCAGTCGTTTTGACGGTGCGTGTCATACTGGCGACCCGCTGGCCATGTTGGAAGTGATTGAATCGTTCTCGTTATCGTCGTGATGTTATTTTGCTGTTGCAGGTGTTTGGGAGTGCTGGCAAGGCCCGTCCCGACGAGTAGTTTCTCAATTTCTTGGGAGCTCGTGAGGCAGACAGGTATGACGAAATAGATGGACAAGACTCAAGCCAAATCCGCGTGCCCGTTGCTGACTGGGCCACTTGGATTGTTCCGGTGCCGGGAAAGCTGCCGCGATGCCCCCTAGGTAAATAAGAAAACCAAAAAGGGAAGAAGCGAGAAAATAATATTAATAAACGAAAACCACATAAAAGAGGTTAAGTTTGGCTCGCAAAGCTCCCCAAAGCCATGGAATCATCTGGCCATGGCCAGGCCAGCCCATTAGCAAGGTAGAGGCTGCTGCTGCGCGATCCATCCATCCACAGAAGGGACAGAATGCAAGGATGTCGTAGGGTGCGAGTGGCTGCTGTGGCTATCGAGAGTTTGCTGGCGCATCGGAACCCGGCTCAGCTGTCGGTTCGTGTCAGCAGCCCAGCTAAGAATTAGGATTAGACACTCCCGAATCTGCAGACTCTGCCTATGGGCTGCTGAAACCCAAGCCTGGTGCACCCGAGAGACGACGGATAATGAACCAGTCACTTACGACTGCTTTCGCTGGAACTCCGCCAAAGGAAATAAGGCGGGGAAGAGCACGACGAGGCCTGAGGAAAGAAGAAAAGAAAACAGTTGAGCGCAGGAGATCATTTGGTTGCACAAAGACCTTGGTTGCGCCAGTTGTAATGCAACCCGCCAGCAAGTCGAGGTACATGCGGCACTGCTAATCAGGTCGTTTTTAGCGTCTGCAACAGGCTCAATCGACCGTTGATTGGTGGGGGTGGTTCCAAGATGTTCAGCCGAACCAGGACGTCTTTGGAGTGGGGGGGTTTGTACCCCCCTTCAGAGCGCTTCTCCAAATTGTCGTTGTGGTTGGCTGACTGCATCGCAACATTGCAGCAGAGATTGGTGCATAGAGCACAGCACAAACCCGCCATGGTCAGTGCAATATGCCTACAGCAGTAATTAGCTTGTGTCTAGATAGAAAAGGGAAAGTTATGATTGGCATCGTGAGAATAGCCGTGTCTAGGAAAGTAGAAATTCAGGGAGGATGTAAAGTAAACAAACAGACTCTGATCAAGGTTTCGACGAGAGCCCATTTCTTGACTCCTCGAGCGAGAAGTAGAGGAGAAGGGATTCTCAGAGTAAAGAATGAAGGAAAGCCTACCTCCTTGCTCATATTGCATCTTGTGCTGGATGCCGGTCATCGTAATATCAGCTTGCCATCTTCCAGATGCGAGGCTAGCTTCAAGAGTCCTTCACTGTGCCTGAGGTTCAAGACTTGCACCTTGTTCGACCTTCTTTTGGTTTTTCCATCAAGCGACGAAATGCAGGGTGAGTAGGCTTGCTTTCGAATCCTCTCGCTACACCAGCTGATGTTCTCCATGAAGCCCGATGCTCACATTGCTAGCTGTTCTTGCGATATATCCTCGAATCATCTCGCAGTCACAGTCTCCGTGTTCGAGAATCTGGCTTCTCAGAACCAGAACCTCGTTTTTGAGCGCTGCTACACAGGCATCGAGATACATTCGCTCTTGTGTGACTCGCTGTTCTTGAGCGGCGAGATCTAGCTCGTGTTGTTTTGTCTTCTCGCGGCATCGCTTTGCAGCGGCTCGGTTCTTGACGCGATACGTCTTTTTCCCTTCCGGTCTTGGTGAAGAGTAAGTGTCGTAGTCACTTTCCTTGTGCTCGTTGGCGGCCTCGATGCCATTCGTGTTTGTGTCGTAAGAAGCCGTGTACATCGATAAGTCGTGTTCTCTCGCTATGAGGCGTGCCTTCTTCACTGGTGGTTGACTCATTGGTTCCGGCTTTCGACCTTTAGACGTCCTCGGCGTGTGGCATGTTGCTGTTGTTCCTGGGGTTAGGCTAGCCTGGAGTTGAAAATTGGATGTGTAATGCCAATTTTGGCCTAGAAACGGAGGGTTGTCAACATGATTTGGCCATAAATGAGGTGGGTTGTGTGCCATGGGTTCAGTTGGCTGGAAGTCTAACTGCTGGTACGTAGGCCATGCTTCGCGCTGGGTTGTCCAAGTGGCCGTTGAAAAGTCTGACGTAGTCCCTGCAGTTGAGTCGAACAGCCGACAGTCCTGAATCTCAACTTCCTGGTGCACGGAGACCATCGAGAAATCAGTCGCGTGGCAATCACATCCAGACCATCGCTGGCACTGGTGAGACTCGTTGATAGGTGATTGGACCGGCTGTTGTGGTAAAGTATACAATGACACCAGCTCAGGGTAGGCTGACTGAGCCATCATATTGCCTACCGCATGGGCAGCAGAGTGTTTTTCTTCTTGTTCAGTTGAAAATTTGTAGATTTGGTTTCTTGCAAGCCTCTTGGTAGACTCTGAGTAGGGTAGGTTGTCTTGAGTCTTGACCACGGTGCTAGCGGAATCCGATAGAAAAACTCAAAACTTGGCTGGAAAGCAACTAGTATCTAGGTTAGAGAACATATGAGTATTTTGAGCCCAGAAGATGCTGACAGAAGATGGTCGAGTAAGTAAAAAAAAAAAAAAAGATGATTAGTTTTGGAAACCAGGGGTGGAAGAGGAGGAGGAGGAGGAGGAGGAGGAGGAGGAGGAGAGGCAGGGGGAGGAACTCCTGGCTCTGGCTCGGGGTCGGGCGTATGGTGCAAAGTCTATGACAGGATACGGGCAACACAGTGACTGGGGTTGAAATGTCATGCCGATAAATGGGGATGCGATAGGATATTTGAGCGGGCCCCCAATGAAGGAGGTGCGAGAAGGGCTCCTGGGAATATGCGTGTCGGGGGTTTCTACTGGGGCTGGACTGACAGGGGACAAAGTGAGAGAATAGACTTACAGCTGTTCCACCCAATGCAAGTCTTTTCACGCCAGGCGACCTGAGTTGCCAGATGTCTCAAACAACAGACAGAACCGACGGACGGCGCATTACACCTACACGGGGTGGTGTACACGGAGGGAAGTTGTGCTGCTTGCTTGGAGAGATGAACCTTTCCTCGCATGGTTGTCATAATTGGTATCTTGTGTATCGAAGCAGCAAAGACGAAGGGGAGGGTGGATAAGCATGAGGGCGGCAGCTGAGGGGCTGGCCACTGCAGCGGAAGTAAAGGGCCAATGCAAAGTTTTGATGGTAGGAAGACGGCAGAGTCGGGATGTGTTGGTAGCGGCCAGCGGTATGGTAAGGTAAGTAGAGTGAGACGGCCGAGAAAGAGGTCGCGTTGTGAAGCTGAGACTAAAGACCAAAATGCAGACTGGAATGGGGTTGAAGCCGGAGCCGAGATTGGAGTTTTGCTGGGAGTCAAGTTGAGCAGTATCCGTTGATATGAGAGATCTGTCAGCAATTGCGAGAGATGGCAGGGCTGTGTGAAATGTAGGTTTTGGGAGACAGTGTACAATGCTCAGAGGATAGTCGGATAAGAAGGAGCAGTAGTAGCAGTACGAGAAGACGCTGGTATTGAGTGGGTGAGTGATAGTAGTGGTGGTGGTGGACGAGAAGGAGAAGGAAGAGGTGAGGGTGACGAAACTGAATAGCCAGTGACTCGGACCGTGGTTGCGTACGGGCCTTGCTGCGTAGACGGCAGCAACACAACAACGGTGTCCGCGACAGGGAGAGCAATGGATGGGACGTACTGGATGTGTAAGGTAATGTTCCGTACGACTGGATCGGTATGGGAGGACCGAAATGAAGGCAGGAAGGTAAAGTAAGTGGTTCTTTCTGTTTCCCGATAGGTTGGGCAGGCGGTTTTTGGAAAAGAGTACGGCGAGTCGGCCAGTGATGGATGCCCAATGTGGCGGAATTCAATCCGGTGAAATCAATGTTGCTGATTGGTCGCCGGATCAAACTCCGGCATGGGAAAGGCGCTGGGTGGCAAAGTCTTCTTTCCATTATGGTAAGCTAAATCAGGTAGGTGCTGGGCGGCCTTGGGCCCTCCTGCCCCGAGAAAACAAACCATCCATTCGTGTCCAGTTCCATTTAGTACAGGTACCTAGGCAGGCACGCTCGGTAGGGCGCTCCTCCCATATCCCTTTTCAGGTTGGCTTCCTTCGCTTCCCGGTCCCGTACTCTCATGATGCCTTCCATCCAACTGCCCAGTGTCTCCCCCCTCCCCCCCCCCCAGTAATTCCTCAGATCCCACCCGACCTAATCTTCACTCCTTCAACCTGCTGCATAGGACTTGATGCCACCCACAACTTGAAGGTGCGCACCGGCGCTTCATAAACCTGGAGCACTAAGGCATGTTATGCTTTGACAGCAGTTACCTTGCCGTTTCTGGGTAGACAAATTGTGCTCTGCTTCCCCGCATTCACAGCATGTGTCAAGCCTCATCGTCGCATCTTTGCCACACTTCCTCCGTTCCAACCTCAAAGTCAACGTGGCGAGGTTTCTTCCCTCCCATAGCCAGATCTACACAGTAGGCACGTAGGATGGCCTGAGCCGAGATCTACTAAGCTTGATAGTGCAACGAATCTGGAGACGACTTGCGTCGCCATCCCAAAGATGCCTTGCCTTGGTTGACCAAGTTCCATTGTCTTTTCTCTTCCATTGTCCGCCTCTGCTACTTACCTATGGGCGGTGGATTTTGGAGTAAGATCATCTTGGTCTACCTATGCTTGGCTGTTAATGGAATGCGTGTGAAGATCTAGCTCGCTCCAATAGGTATCAGACCGGGAGTTGCATTACATCCGGCTCCAACGTGCATCTGTCAGTATCGTACGTCTGCGCCTGCGTGGACCGCTTATCACGGTGTGCTCAGCGTGGCTTCTTACCTGCAGTTCCTCAAGGTAGCTTCCTTCCTGTAGGCGCCGTGATGAGATGCATTCCTCACCTCACCGACGCATCCATACCCCTCCCCTTCCATTCAGCTGTTCGTCACACTTTTCTCTACCTTACCTTACATCAACGTAGCTTTAAGGCAGCCAAGGAGAAGAAATGTCCATAGCCAATCGGTCTTAACTCCTTCCAATCAATCCTCCATTTTCATCACATGTAATCATGCCATGTGATCTCCGGTAATGCCCATCCATCATCGCCATCTCTATCTCTACCTCCTTCCCCAGACCCCATCCCATTAGTATCGCCATCGCGGCTTGCAGACACGCACACTTTTGCTCCCAGCAGAACCTCTCGCGAGTCACCCCTCCGTGCCAACCACTTGCCCATCTTCGCGCGCTTACCTACCAGAAACGACTCTGCCCCTCTATCGGCCGCTGACGCCCAACCAATCAACGTCAATGCGACGTGCAGGCATCAAGAGGTGGTGCGGCTTGCCTTGTACACTACTCGACGATCCTGGACCAAGATTCCGTCTTGATCACCCTTGTCCACAAAACACCCGGACCAGATGTTCTGTCAACTAATCCAGTAGCTACGCCAAAATGTTATCATAACCTATGCATTTCATCCTCCATCTCCACGTCTCGGCCGGCCCCTTTCCGTTTTGCCTCAATAACCAACCCACGATGCCTCGCAGACATCCTCGTCCTCGTCCTCGTCCTCTTCATTGATGACCCTCGACAGTCATCAGTGTTTGATCTGACCATGCCAAAATCAAATGGTTAAATAAATAATCACGTCTTGAAGACATCTGTTACTGCGAGCGAATCGACCCTACGGCACCGAACAACTCAGCGCTGCACCAGACAGCCCAAATTGGGAACATCCCCGCTATCGAAACAACGCTCTAAATAGAAGCCACAACGATCTCGATGCCACTTCTCCTGCCCAAGGTCCCTTGCCTGCTACCCTATCCAGCATCGAAACGCCCCGCTCTTGATTTCCATGGGTAATAATCCCCCACCTTACACCATTGCCGTCAGCCTGATTGACGCCAACCTCATGCACCACGTCTCTGGTAACACAGCATTCCGTACTTGTCTGCTTTCATATGGAAGATTGGTTCTTTGTAATTGACCTACTGCGTGTTAAGCCCTAGACGAGAGAGCATCTTTCCAAGAGAATCAATAACAGCTATGTTATACCTTGCAACAAGGGTAAGGGGCAAAATTGTTCTCGACAGGGCGAAACCTTCCTCACTTTGCATGATAACTCCAAAGTACTACGGCATCTCCGAAGCAGACGCGACCCTGCTCCCCGAGCCAATGCCGAAGTTCAGAAATGCGAACATCCGACATTGTTCTGGATGTGCTGTGCTAGCCATGGGGTAGGTGGAGTGGTTCGCATCCTGAAAGCAACTATCGGAGTAATACATTGTTGTGAAGACACCACTGCCACTCAACCAAGCTGTATCATGTCACTTTTCCATCAACCACATGCAAATGGCATGCTATCATATGACACCAAGCACACGCCAGACTTCCAAAGCTTCACTGGCGGCAGCATCAGCCCTGGTGCTGGACGTTACACATGCGGATCATGCAACCGAGACTCGGAAAAAAGCACGTACACCAGAATCTTCCCATTTCACATTCTTATTGACCGCCGTTTGGCATAGCCCATCGGAGTTTCTAACAATTGAAGCAATCAGACCCGGATAGCAGATGGAAAAAGCAAGTTCGAAAGGCAGGTTGACAACACGCCCTTTACTGTTTACGCGCCATCATGCAGCGTTCGAGCTGAGAGAGCATCTAACAACTGCCGAAGACGAAAGCTAAACGCCACGGATGACAAAAGGCAACATCGGTGAATTATCGACCTGTCTTAGGTCGCAAAACGCTGGATCCCAAGATGGTAGCTATGTCTCACCGTTCTGTTCCACTCGCTTCAGCACTTCGCCTCAAATTGTACCTTAGCGACTGTTGGATATGTTTACTAGCTCTTCAACTGCGGACTACACCACCTGAAAGCATTCAATATACATGATCAGAGGGGCTCTGCCGGAAATTACAGATAACGTCGGCGAATGAAGGCGACACGGCCATGTTCACATTGAATGGCGCCAGAAGAACCAAGAGAACAACCTCCGCCTATCCCCGGCCGAATGAATTGCAACGCCTACCTATCGCGATGACTACAGATGCCCATTGAATGCATCTACCAGGGCCTTGACGTGATGCTGCGTGGGTGGACTGATTTCTGCTCACTCACTGCGCGCAGAGTCGCATGCATATCCAGGAAAGGATATTGTTAGAGATTCAGGGACTCGTCGAATCCTACTTGCCACGGCGGAAGCTCCGCTCCGTGGCAAGCCTCTCTCTCACATGCATCCGACCCAAGGATCTCTTCGTATGCAATCATAACAGCGTCCGCAAGCCTGCTGATTCCTTCCTACGACTGCTGTCGTTGGAACTTCCCGGGATACCGACTTGGCCTCCCGATCGAAAGCTGATTGATAGATACTCAATGGAACCCTTCTGACCCTTGACTGCAGGGAGCTTCTACGGCTACATCCGCGGTGATGTTGGTGTGAACGGATTATTGGACAGCTTATGCCGAGAGCCAACTAAAGTATGACGGAACATAAAATGGCAAAAACCGCAACCAATCAGCCGGGGTAATTCGGTACAGGGGTGTGTACGCCCCATGGGATCAGCGATAATTGGGCGATGGAGGTCTCCAGATGTTGCCTTCCTGGTTATACGTGGCAAAGCATTTGGATGCGGTCTCTAAAACCATGTGTGTTGTTGGTTGTTGTCCTCAAGGGATTGTGATTTGCAAAAAGATACTCTTCGGTTGACAGCGGAGGGAAAGCTTCTGTTTTTTTTTTCGGACTTTGTACCAAGCTCTACTAACCACACTACCATAATTCACCAGATTATACCAGATCATGGTTAGAAGGCTTTCAGGGTTTTGGCTTCATTGCTTCACACACTTTGAGATATGTTCCAGCTTTTTCACAGACGGACCGACGGACCTATGACCCGGGCTCTGCTGCTCACAAGCTTCTGAGTGTGCTTTTGTGGTCTGAATGGCATCAATTGCAGACGTACCATCCCCGGTGTGCTTAAACAGAATAAACTTGCGAATGCGTTGGTACCGTTACATGCTTGACTGGTTTCAAGTAGGGACATGAGCATAGTTGGATATGCCGAAAGGGGGCAAGACAGGCCAGCTTCGCCTGATGGCGATGGTACAGAGAGCCCCCAACGTTTTTCTTGCCTCGTGTTTGGTCATGTCGAAGTCCGAACGCCCGTGGGTTTCTGCGAAGACCTTGAGACTAGAGCCTTTTCTCCACGGATCCGCGGCAAATTTGACCACTCTTTCTTTTTTTCTTTGCTGCGGCTGAGGTGACGGGGTGAAGCTGAGCTTTGTCTGTTGTATAGGGATAGCCTAGATCGGCGGGTTTTCTCTCCTTTCTTTTGATGTTGGTCGGTACAGCAACGAAGCTGATGGAAACATGCGGTGTAACGAATTTCAGCAACGCAAGGCCAGACAGGAACGAGATACGACGGTCTTTTACGAGATGGGTACTTTTTGGTACGAGGTGATACGTTTCCTCTGATAAGCACACCTCTCCTTTCGTTTTCTCGAGATTGAGAAAAGTAGTCGTATCAATTGCTGTTCTTCGGCCAAAACAGCTTTTGAAAGCCCCTTTTGTGGTAAGGTAGGCAGGCATGCCCTGCCTCTCGTCCTCACCTTCCAAGAACCAGAGCCTAGAGGCCACCGTTAAGATGTTTGACCCTTTTGCTTCGATGACGACTCAGAGAAGTGTTTCAAAAAATGATGTGATATAGACAGAAAAGCGTTTGGTGAAGTGCTTCATTCTGTCTCTCAGGGGGGACGATCCTTTCTGAGACACCCCCCTCTTCGAAAGTCTTTGAGAAGGCAGAAGTCCAACTCACCGACTGTTTCTTTGCTGTTGTGGGGGGGGGGGGGTTATTGTTCCTTTCGCCGACTACCTACCGGCAACGCTGATCTAGAGTCTGTCATTCTCATGTCATTTGAAGAATTGCTGAACCAGGGAGAGGACGGCTGGCCGAGCCAGAAACTATGGAATGGCGAAGAAAGGGGCGAGGAGGGGCAAACTTTCTACTTTGGGGAGGTCAGGGATTACAGGCACAACATTTGCGTATGTGATGGGTTGAAGAGGTTAACAACTTTAAAGCGGGCGGGTTTGTATACCCCCGCTAGGGAGTGCCCGGCGGAGGGCTTGTGCGTCCATGGACATAAAAGGCCCTTTTCGTATCCATCAGCGAGGAAGTCAAAGGTCCAGGCCGTGCTTTCTCGTGCATATTTTTTTCGACTGAGAGAAGATAGCTATGCTGAGGGTCGTGAGATGTTCTGGTGTCTATGTTGAATGACGGGCCAAAGGATTGGAGAGGGAGTTCTAGTATGTCGATAACTAGCGGTGTTGATAACTAACGATGTTGACAACAGGGATGTTGTCTTCCATAATAAAATAAAAGAACAGGCCTGGGCTGCGAATCCGCAATGTCACAAAAGCAGGGCACATCTAGTTGGTTCCCGTTGGACATTGGAGATGGGGGGAACATTTTGGTTCACATGGATACTGCTGCTCGCCAAGAAGGCACAAACAGTGGCCTCGGATAGAGGCAACTATAGCCGGTTGATAGTCTGGCCTGTTTCTTGAGTATGGATTATGTATCTCAGCAGACTCAGTCCGGCGCAATCGCAGAGATGCTATTCTGGTTCACCAGGTGCGGAGCCTGGTTGCGTAAAACAAGCGTCTGTTGTGCTTTGCCATCTGAGCCACAGCGGAACAGTTTTTTGCTGTGGAAGTGGTTAACGCACCCACCACCACCCATCGCCAACCCGGGAAACGTGTGGCCTGGCGACCTTCTGGTACGCGACATCCTCGCCGTCCGCCCCGCAACTGTACACCCTGAGGGCTGTGTGCGTTCGGCTAGACAGCTGGCGCGCAATTGTACTTAATGCTTTGTGTACCGCATAGCAGCTTCGAGCAATAAGTCTCGACTCGTCGGATCCGTGGCCTTTATCGAAGCTTGGTTGTCGTTGACTCTTTGAACCATATGGCCCCACTCAGACGTCTTCATCCTCCACCTCCTCCACCATAACCTGGTGGGGTTTCGTGTTCTCTGAATCCCCGTGCGACGCAGTTGTCTGAAGGTAGCCTTCCTGCTCCAGTCGATCCGCCTCTTCGGGTTCCATCAAACCGCCTTGGCCCTTGCCCTTGTCCAGCTTCATCTTGACGTGCGTGGGCACGAAAGCGGTGACGGCTTCCTTTGTCAAATTCCGTACCATCGGCTTCGCCTCGTATACGGTCTTCGGTTCTGGCGCGGGAGTTTTGGCCTCCTTCTCCTTCTTCTCCCTCTCTTCTGGCTGTTCTCTCTCCGCCTGCTCTGCTTGCCTCCTGGCGCGTCTCTTTGCGTACCACTTATCCATCAGTTCTTTCGGAATCGGCGGCGGTGTGTCGCGGGGCATGGGGATCCGCTTCACGTCGTCGGGAACATCCTCGTCGCTGGTCAACTCGTCGTTGTCTCGCCTCCGCTTTCCGAGGACTCCGCCGGAAGAATCGCCATCGCGGTTGTATCCTCCTCCTCCGCGGCTAAAGGTGGGTGCTTTGTCGCCGAGCGCTTCGCGCGCCTTGTTTACTGCCCGTAGCTCCTTCTCGAGGCCTTCGAGGACCTGCTCTTCGTGGCGCGATAGCTTGCCTCCGTTTGTCGTGATTCCCTTGAGATCGTCTATTTGTTTCTGGAGTCTTTCGGGGTTGCGGCGTGCGAGCTTCTCATTGCGACGGCCTTGGACCTCGGCCTTGCCTGGAAGAGTAGCTGGTTAGTTGATGACTTTACTGGCTAATGTGTTGTCAGTTGGAGACATTACCCTTCTTGATTGCTTTCGCTTTATCAGCCTTGCGCTGAGCGTTGACTGGATTGTAACTCTTTTCTTTCGGCATTTTGGGTGTGAGTACGGACGTGATGGGAGTTGTTGTAGAAGTTTAAATGTCGATGTCACAAGAAGCTTCTAAGCCAACCTGGGAAGATCCATTGCTCTGATAGCGATAAGGCGGGAAGTCACTATCGATAGCGTTTATCGCGTCACGTGCGGCCTTCAGCTGGACAGGGGCATGATTGTTGCCCCTGCAACATTGTTGACTTGATGCCCCGCAGCACCCAATAACACTTCCGCTTTGTTCCCTTGTTCCCCCTAATACGCAAGTGCCCACCAGCGATCGACTGTGCAGTGGTCAGCCTCCGTAGGTCGGGTAGATCTTGGGCAGTCTGTCTCCATCCATCGCCCAGGCACGCCTGGATTCCTACCCAAGTCAACCCCACGGCGGAGAAGATAACAACATAATAACCCGCGTTGGTTACGCTTTATCTCGAGCACGCAACTTTATTCGTACCTTGCAGTGCTTTTCGATCCTCCTCCCCCAAACATCTTTCTCGATTACCCCTCCAAGCACATTGGTTGATACCTTTGGTCGCTACGTTTCGCCCCCCGCTCGCATCCTCCCTCAATCCACCTCCCGAATCTGTTTGTTTCACAACATCATCAACAATGTCGGGCTTCATGGCCAATTTGTTTCCTGGAGGAACCAGGGACAACAATGCAGCATCGCGACCCGAGACGCCTACGAGAAACAGCTTCATCAACCCAGCCAGCACACCCCAAGGTAGCCCCAGCAAGAGGACGAACCCCCCCGGCGCCCACGAACTGCCCGAGTCCTTCGACAATGCGCTCAAGCTGAGCACACCTGTTCTGGAGAGACCCAGACTCGATCGCCCGCTAAGTGTGATCACCACCCCGCAGTCTTCGGGAAGAGGCAACGAATACAGTCCCAATGTCGAGGACAGCGTCTTGCACAAGGGAGCGACTCCAGCAGGCAGCCCCTTGAAGAAGTCCCATGGACAGGAGAACACTCCCCCCATCTCGCGCTTGGGAGGCAACGATTCTCCCTACCAACAGAGCCACGCTGCCATCTCCCGTCACGAGCTGTACCAACCCAAGGAGAAGGCTGTGACTCCTAGGAACAAGTTCAACACCCAGAGAGCACTCACACCCGAAGAGTTGGAGATCCTGCAGCGCCCCAACGTGCGAAGACTCGTCAACGTGACACAGCTCTGTATGTTGAACTCTCTTCAACATGGCGTAAGCAAGACTGACGGAAAGCAGACTTTCTCGACTATTACTTCGACCTTCTTACGTATGTCGGCTCCAGACAGAACCGCCTGAACAACTTCCAATCGGAGATCCCACCTCCACCAGAGACCGATGAGGGGACGTACAATCAGATGTGGTCAAAGTATAAGGGACGAGAGCGTGCAAACCTCAGAAAGAGACGAGTGAGACTTCGCCAGGGTGATTTCCAGATCCTCACTCAGGTTGGACAAGGAGGTTACGGTCAGGTGTTCCTGGCGCAGAAGAAGGATACTCGGGAAGTCTGCGCGCTGAAGGTGATGAGCAAAAAGTTGCTGTTCAAGCTTGACGAAGTTCGCCACGTGTTGACTGAGCGCGACATTCTGACCACTGCCAAGAGCGAGTGGCTTGTCCGGCTTCTTTACTCATTCCAAGATGACAAGAGTATCTATCTTGCCATGGAGTATGTGCCTGGAGGAGATTTCCGCACACTGCTCAACAACACGGGCGTTCTGAGCAACCGTCATGCTCGTTTCTACATCGCCGAGATGTTCTGCTCCGTCGATGCTCTTCACCAGCTTGGTTACATTCATCGAGACTTGAAGCCGGAGAACTTCTTGGTCGATTCCACCGGACACGTCAAGCTCACGGACTTTGGACTAGCTGCCGGTATGCTTGCGCCGGCCAAGATCGAATCTATGAGAGTCCGTCTCGAAAAGGCATCCGAGACCTCAGTACCTTTCGGAAAGCCCATGGATAAGCGAACGGTAGCTGAGCGAAGAGAGGGGTACCAGACGATGCGTGCAAAGGATATGAATTACGCCAAGTCCATCGTTGGCTCACCCGACTACATGGCGCCGGAAGTTCTTCGAGGAGACGAGTATGACTACACGGTAGACTACTGGAGTTTGGGCTGCATGCTGTTCGAGGCTCTGACAGGATTCCCTCCCTTTGCGGGCTCCACCCCTGATGAGACTTGGAGGAACTTGAAGCACTGGCGCGAGGTGCTCAAGCGGCCCGTTTGGGAGGATCCCAACTACTTCCTCAGCAACCGCACCTGGAACTTCATTACGACGTAAGTGGGCCCTGTCACGGTTGACATGCTTTGTGACATCATCTAACACCACGCTTTAGCTGCATCAACTCTCGGTCCAAGCGCTTTTCCAACTTTAAGGAGATCAACTCTCACCACTACTTTGCCGAGGTTGACTGGGATACTCTACGAACCACCAAGGCTCCCTTCGTGCCCGAGCTCGACTCAGAGACGGACGCCGGATACTTCGATGACTTCAGTAACGAGGCGGACATGGCCAAGTACAAGGAGGTGCATGACAAGCAGCAGGCCCTCGAGACCATGGCGGACCGTGATGACGAGATGGGCAAGAGCCTCTTCGTCGGCTTCACATTCCGACACCGGAAGACTACCGATGACGCAAGTCCGCGCAAACCTATCCCCTTCAAGGAGGAGGAGGACACCTTTGGCACGATGCTGTAGCGCAGACCTGTGTGGAAATGGACGCAATTGAGTCGGACGACATTTCGGAGAGGCTTCCTCTGAGCCTGGAGTCCGAAGATTCCAACTACGATCATGATGAGACGGACGTCATTGGGCCCATATGGCGGTGTTTGAGTGTGGCGAGAGACTACTTGTATGAGTTTGGGACTGGACTGCCCTGCAGCAACGGCATGTTTGAGATGAGATTTCGGGCATTTCTTTTTGCGTTGGAGTTTGCAGATGGACAGGTTCAGGTTGACAGGCATGCTAACACAGCATTAAGCAAGCAGGGTCTTCTTTTTTCGGGTTGGGATTAATTCTTGGGGATGAGACGGCGTTGCAGACAGCCGAACATCCGACACGCACGTGGGGTTTAGAGACGATAGACACGCACAGAAACAATTGACATTTTTCTTCCTCTTACTTCCGGTCAGCTTCCCTAGCTTACTCACCGATAGCGGGTGCCAAACCTGTCCGCGTCATATTTTGAGGCTCGCGCGAAGCCCCGTGAGAGTACCTGCCTTAGTTGAAGCAGATATGACCAGCCTCGCCTCTCGGCACGACGGCAGCTAAGCCAACGATCGGGGCTGCCAAAGCCTGACGGCGGGCGGTCTGTTTTTGGTGGCGGACTGGTGATGGTGTGTCGATCAGCCGGCACCCAGCGAGCAGCATAAGCACATACTCTGAAACAAATGCGATGAAGGCGCTTCGGCCCAGCTCTCGGTGGTCACGTTCCCTTCGATTCGACGCAAAGACAGTCATCATCCATTCCCTTTTTTTGCTGACGCCGTTTTTGCTTCGTTTCTTCTCTTGTCCTCGTCCCGACTTGAAGGTGCAGTGCAGTGCAGTGCGCTGTTCCCGACGAGCTGGGTCCGTTGGCAGCAGGAAGCAGGAAGGCAACCCATTCGGACGAAGAAAGGAAGCCCAAGGAGCATACGTCAGCCTTTTTCTGTTTTGATGGTTCTTCCAAAACCCCGAATGGGGTGGGAAACGTGGGCTGACGCTTTCTCGCAGGAAAGTACATACGCTTCAGAGAAAACCAAGTAAGAGATGGATTCCCCTTCTCCACCGTTTTGGTGTTTCCTCACCTCACCCAGTACTAAAATGTACCTTATTCCTTAAGGTATGATGGAGTTACCCGGGGGACCGAGAGCCAATCCGGTTGAAACGGAGGTTGGTGTTGATTGGCTTGGACTTACATGACGGATCGCCGAACCGAACACTAGCGGTGGTGGCCCGGTGTTCCCCAAACCCCATCCCGGACGACCATTCTTTTTTTTGGGCCTGTTGTGTCACATCACACATTCGCCCTCTCAGCGACGCGCGAGCGACCCCGTTGGAGCAAATAGCTAAGCATACTTGCCGACGAGCCACTAGCATTTTGTCCGACTGAAGCAGCTGCAGCAGCTAAAGTCTGACTTTTTGTGGGCAAAAGGGCTCTGAGTGTCCATGAGGCAAACACACACACACATTTAGGACAAGACTTGTTCCTCCTTTCCTGGTGACACCGTCCGGGGGGGATCCTGCCATGCAGGGCCGCGCGGTTGGGGGCTTTGATCAAGGGACGGACAAGGCGAGAGAGAGATACGCGCGAGCTGAGGCTGTTCGGATGTGAGGTAAGGTAAGCAGACCAAAGTTTTGGGATGGGGGGAAGAGGTGTGATGCGCGTGAGAGGAACAGTAGTGTAGCCTGGGCATCCGGTAGGATCTGCGGAGGTTCAAAGAGCTTGAGTCACAAATCGCGGTGTCCGTGGACCAAGGCGGCACCTTCTCGCCTCCACTGTCCCAAGAAGGGGAGGGAGGAAACGAAAGATGCGCGCCAAGACCCTGTCATTGCTTTTTGTTTTTTTGCCATGCGGCCATGCGGCTGCTCGGGACCGAAGCTGTCTGTTCCTCACCTTGCCCTTATGCCGTGACCCATCAGCAGTACCTTCGTACGGCATTTGAGTGAGACTAGCGGAGTAAGGCAACGGTAGTCGAAGGGGGTGTGCGAGGGTGTGCGTAGAGGACGAGGCAGAGAGAGTAGAGGCGGTCATGTCGTTTTTCGAGAATTATAAAGACAAGTCGTTGGATCTTCAGTTCGTCCATTGTTTGAGAGTTGTTTTGAACCATCACATCGGGATTGCATCTCATCTTCCTTCTTCCGTCGCAACAAAAAACATCAGTCAAAACTCATTTACACGCATTTACAACTGCAGGCGCAGGGGATTTCTCTCATCAAACTTTTTACAAACAACAACCAAAAAAACCAATTCAAATCAGTCAAAATGAAGGCCGCTTTCGTTGCTGCTGCTTTGGCCCAGGGCGCCGCCGCTGTCGCCAACCCCATTGGACCCGGAAACGGCTTTGGGCCCGGTAACGGCGCCGGCTGGGGTGGATTCGCCTACGGCGGTGGATTCGGCGGCTTCGGCCCTGGCGGTTTCGGCAACGGCGTTGCATCATGCGCTGTAAGTCTAAGCTTTTTTGCAGTTCCCTGCCGTTCATCCCAAGCTCTCGGTCCCAACTTCTTTCCAAACTCTCAACTCAGCTCTCGTGAACTCTATCTACTCCAAACACATTTGCTAACACACTTTTTACCAGAGCTCCTGCTTCTCATCCCACTTCGCCACGGCGACCCCCACCCCGGCCGCCTTCTGCACCGACGCCCCGCAGCTCAACGACTGCGTAAAGTCCGCCTGCACCTCGGACGCCGCCGCCCTCTCCACCTACACCTCCGTCTCCTCCTCCGTCTGCAACGCCTTCACCTCGTGCGCCAGCACCAGCACCTTCACCTACAGCGGCGGCTGGTGGGGCTCCAAGACGGGCGACGCCGCCGCCGTCACCATCACCGGTTGCCCCGTCGACGGCTGGTGGGGTCCCGGCGGCGCCTGGGGCGGCATGGGCCCCGGCTGGGCCTACAAGACCGACACCGTCACCCTCACCCGCACCGTCAACGGCGTCGCCACCACCGGCCCCGCCACCGTCGCCCAGGCCGTGTCTGGCAGCAGCACGCTGCTCACGACCTTCACCGGTGCGTTCGCCGCCCAGGCGACGAGCGGTTCCGGCTCTGGGTCGACTAACGCTGCTGCCCCCGCTGATGCCAACCGCGGCGTCTTGGCTGCTGGCGCGGCTTTGGGCGCCTTCGTTGCTGCTGTCGGTTTGATGTAAAAAAGTTTGCATCGAGCCTGTCACAGTACGACAGTTCACTTGTACCTTGTATACCATATCCCCCTTCCCTTTTGTTGTGTTTGTACAACCGGGATTTGCAAAAAGGATGAATCGCAGAAAATAAGGGGCATAAGGCAAGGTTTTCATTCTTACTTCATTCCTTAATGACCTGGAGTTAATTTTGGGGAGGACTGTTAATAAGGCTGGATACCTTTGTAACGTATTCTGATGATGACATGTCTCTTGATGACGGGAGACCACTACAGTCTTTACTTAGATCTTAGGACGGGCACTGCCGGGTACGATTATTAAACATGGAGTTGTTACCGAAGCTACAGGTTTTTTTTTGCTTCCCAAACATAAAACTGACAAAAGTATCTTAGTCGCCTTTCCGCCACTCGGGTAAACCTCCATAAGCAAACCTCCATAAGCGGTCCAGTCGAAAAAGTCTCCTTCATTGTTCACCGTGCACTTCTCTTCTAAGTATGGTCATCAATATTCAAACTCTGACCAGTGTTGAAAGCCGTTTGTCAGAAAGGGCTCTGGACAGCCCCAATTCTTCCGAAGATACGGCACATGCAAAAGGTCCTTTTCCAGGTCTATCAGGTAGCAAACGTAGCATTGCGATAATTCGCCATGTGTTTCTTCCGCCATTGCAAAACACTTGCAATGACTCTCAGTATCTGTGTCGATTTCTCCAAAATCTAGCGGTCCAGAATCTTCATGCGTAGTTTGGTACGAACGGTAGGACGGTGGATTGTAGAATACAGCATGCTTCAATTGCTTGCGGATCGAGTTTTGCGGCGAAAAGGAAGTCGTCTTACCCAAGTAGCTATTCTGGGCTTGTTTTACTAATGATTTATTGCCTACTTAGTACTGTCTTTTCGTCGGGGTTTGTTTAAATTCTGCTTACTACCCAACGAGAATAGGTCGGAAGAAGCGCCCAGAAAGGCGTCACGTGTGACTACTATATGTTGCCTGTTGCAAGACGAGCTAAATTGAAATACGTCAGATCAATCCTCAGTCTAGTCTTGTACTACGGACGCCTTCAGGTGACTCTTAACTTCGAAATGCAAAACCGAAACCCTTCGAAAAACATCTCGTGATGCCGAGAGAATGACTAGGAAAGGTGTTTGCATACTTACCATAGAGCGTAGTCGTTCACATCGTCAGAGGTGACTCTGCTGCCACATTCCATGCAATTATTAATGATGACGGACATTTGAATGGTCATACCGTCCTTCACACAACAAGACCAAGACTCTTGAGTGAAGAATTCAGAAGGAGTTCTTGCGTCAGCAACGCAGTAAAACCCCTGCCTAACAAGGTCCTCCCCTGGACAGCCTTGAAACCAGACATGAATTGTCTTCTCGAAAATCTAGTTTTGGCGCACGCTGTAAGTTTGTTTTTCTTTTCTGTCTCGAACACTCAAAGAAGAAAGACATAGAAATATTGCTTACCTCCCAAGATCTCCCACAATCGTAAGGTAGAGTTGACGTTCGCCCCAAAGCATCAATGAACTTGATACCGCTTTGCAGTGAAGGTCGGATAGGAATGAGTGTTGATCTCTTGGAAATCGTGAAAACAGCCTTTCGATACAATGCGACCATCGAGAACGAAAGTAGGCATCTGTTGTCATTCAGCATCCAGAAAGACAGTAGAGCTTTGAAACACACAAGAAGGGTTCTTACATCGCAGCTCTCAATATGCCACTTAGCCCAGATACGACTTGTTGACTGTTCTGGAGGATCGATAATGGAGACTTCAAATTATTATGATTCTCCGCCACTGTGTCTCGAGTGAATGGCAACGATTCTGGCCAGGATTCTAGTTGTATCAAAGGTCCCCGCTCCTGTGCCTGAAGCTTGTTGTGTACGGCTTCGATAATGGACAGAACCTTCGAAGTCTGTTCATGGCAGGTATCTATCTTGTTTCCAAGGGATAAGACTGTCTGTAGAATATCTCCAATTTCTTGATTGCTGCAGAAGGATTTGAAGGCTGCTTTCGTGGCATGGTTCATTTGACGCTCAATATCGGATGGCAAATTGGCACAAACAAGTCTATGATTGCTAATTCAGCTTAGACTTCCCAATGAAGAAGGGGTTTAGAGCTTCAAACTAACAGCACGTGATGCGATATCTTTAATTGTAGTGTTGAAAGCTCGGGGCCAATCTTTACGCGCAGACCTTGAACGTTCTTTGACGTAGATATCGCGTATCGTATCTTATTCTGGAGGATTCTGGTCTTTCCGGACGTCGAGAAGGGTCCCAAAGACTCCCCGTATTCATCTTGTATGGTTTTCAGAAACAGATCGACTTCTATACGCAGACGTTTAGCATGGCTGCAGACATCTTGCAAAAGGTCTGGGTGTGGTGACGTAGTCTGGATGTCGTCGAGCGTTCGAAGTGTAGTTGAAAGTTCGTCAATGAATGCTATAGCATTCTGGTATTCGGTTCTAGAGCCCCCCGAATCTTTTAGAGCGATGCGGACCTTGTTGAATAATTGAAGGGCTACGATGATGTCTCCGGTTGACCAGCCGAATGACATTGGGACAACGAGCCCTGGCTGTGGCCCAGACTTTTTTTTTTAAATGATTTTTGTGTGAAGAAGATGGAGAGTTCCGGAGCGGGATCGATGATCAGATTTGGAAACTGAACTATGGGAGCCGGGGGCGGGATGAACGGGGGGGGGGGGGGGGGTTCCGTCATATTGGCAAGTCGCATGCCTGCCTGGAGCCTGCTTCAGGCAACCTGTAAATCGTAACATAGCCACGTTGGGCCGCACTTTCTACTATTCTGAACGTCTATCTTTTTGGGCAGACACCAAGGCATACGGTACAAGTGCTTTAAAGCTGTCGAATCATGGCAAGCCATGCTGCGCCACTCGTAGACCTCTGGAAATCAGGCTGCATAATGCAGTCCCCTACCTGGTGTCACGCTGCTTGAATCCTAAAGCAAAGCATACAATCGCTATTGCGGCATAAGTCAGGGTCGAATTCTTTTCTTTGCTGTTCTCTCACATTTTTGTAAGGAACTTTCTGATGCGAGCCGTGAGATGTCAATGCAATCTGAGGGAAGACCTTGCAGAGCACCCTCATGCGCAACGGAAATCGCCAGTGTTTTCTTTTCGTACTCGAGTGTGAACTGAAGACTCAAAGCAGCACGCAGTCGACTAACACATACTTTAGAGGGCACATTCTGATTAGCTTGCCGACACCCAGAGACTTTCTTGACATCTACAAGGAACTAGCTGATGTTCTCAATCTCAAGGTCTTCAGATGGGCCAGAAACAAGTCGCTGCCGCCCCAGAATCTATTGACTTGTTAAGGGCAAATGACTCGGAGGAGAACCGAGCATGCAAGCAAGTGTTAAGAGTAGTCCATCACCAGCTTTTGTTCAAACAACTACTTCTACAAGAAAACATTCCTGGCCTTCTGGAACCAGGTGTCTCTATCTTTTTGATGTACAGCCCTCCAAATCTCTATCAATACACCACCCAAGCCCCCCAATCATGAGGATCACCACCTCCCATCATCTCACTTCCGGTTCGTACCAGAAACAAGCAGCACGACACTCCCCAACTGCCTCCTCAAATCCTCCTTCTCAACATCATGCGTATCCTCCACCTCGCCCCACGCCCCAGTCTGCCACGTAACCTCCAAACTCAAAGCCGTAGCAGCCTCCTCGACGCCAAACTTCCCGCCCTTCCCACTCTTATCGCGATACTCCCCAACAGGACCCTCACTCCACTCCACGACCAACCTTGCCGCCCCCAAAAGACTCTTCCCCGCCAACACGGCCCTCTCCAACCCCGTAAGCTCCCACGCGTCAAGCCCCATAACCCACCCCTGCACAACCTCCCTCACACCCTCCGATTGCCTCTGCGGCACGATACTATGCCCGTCCAGCACCGGCTGAATCTCGATCCCGGGCCAAACCCGCCCCGTCATGGCGCCCACCACGGCGTCCGCCGTCCTCTTCTGCACGTCGCGCAGCGATTCGCCGGCGTCGTTGCGCGTGTCCGTCGCGCCCGCGGGCGGCGCCCAGCAGAGCATCGCGTCCGTGTCGAGGTACCGCATCAGCGTGTTGGCCACGTGCTCCCGGATCGCGCCGTCGTTGGCGGCGTCGTCGGCGGCGATGTCGATGGCGCGGCAGATGAGCGACGTCAGGGGGATCAGGTGCTGCTTGGTCGCCTGTTCGGCCGAGGTGATGAGATCCCATTCGATGGCGAGCGCCGAGGCGAGGTGCTGCTTCGAGGGCGGGAGGCGGATGATTTCCTTGGTGTTGGGGTGGCGGAGGGGACGGGAGTCGAGGTGGACTTGGAGGGCGCCTGCGTTGAACACATATTGTTTAGCCAATCTCTCCCAGACATCCCATCGCAAAGAGCGAGCTGGAATAAGGGGGAAATGAAAGAAGACATACCATCAACCTCCTGCACACTAACATCGTTCCAAAACCTCCTCTTCAAAGCCCCCGGCGCACTCGACTTGGCCTCGGCCGACGTCCGGATCCGCTTGGCGTGCTTGAGCATCTCGGCCTGCTTCTTCCGCCTCTCGACCCGGATCCGCGCCGCCGCAGCTCGGTCCTCGGCGGCGATGTCAGCAATGGGCGGTTCCGGCGGCGGGCCGGTGCCGACCACGGGCGCGACCTCGGCGGGCTTGAGGGGCGTCGTCGAGATGGCGCGCGCATGGAGGGCACAAGACTGTCTGGCTGACGAAGCCAATGGCGAAGACGTCGCCGTGAAGAGGCGCAGCGGGATGCGTGTTGACGGCTTCATTGTGATGGTATGCCCTTTCGTGGTGTGTAGATGTGGATTGGAGCTATGGGAGCTGCAGCCACAGACTACAAGTGGTCGTTGAATTAATTTTTGGAAGCTTCGCGGCTAGCCCCGGTCGGGTATACAGGGGTCTGATTGGCTTGCACCTTAGCGTGACATCAGAATGCGGGACGGTCTCGGGAGGTGAGCTCGGTGAAGCCTCGGTGTACGAGGTTAAAATTCCAGGGTCCTCTCGAATGCTTCGGACATTGACGAATTGTTAGATCTTTCAAGAATTGTTATCTTAAACTGTCAGAACTCGGCTGCGCGCCTCGCTATACTTCTACGCCAAGCTGTACCAATACAAATTTTTTGAATCCCTCGCCCAAATCCATTAGTAAGGCGGCTTCGTGACGTTCCCTAAACTGAGCTCTCCCGCTCTGCTGTCAATCCCATTAAGAAGGTCGTGTAAATCCATCCCTCCTCCCGACACCATTGACATGGTCCCATCCCCTCTCGTGGAACCCTGGTATAAACTGTCACCGCCGCGACTACTGAGTACTCGTTTCGCTGGCTTCACTGCGTAATCCTGAATAGAAACCGAGGACGTCAGCCCACCAATGTGACCGGGCAGTGGGGGCACTGGTGGAACGTCCTCGTCTTCGTTATGCTCGTACAAGGGGTTGGAGTTGAGCGGCCCACCCTTGCGTGATGCCGATGAAGACCTCTGCCTTCCAAGAGAGGCTCCGTCACCGTTTTCTGGTTGAGATGTCGCCGGGTTGAAGCTAAGCTCCGATGGAGTAAAGTCGTAGCTGACCATGCTATCGCTGTCGCTGTCATGGCGCACGCCAGCTGACGTGCCAATGGGCGTCGCCGGCACCTGGCCCGTCAAGACCATCTTGAGTTGATCAATGGATGTAACTACACCTCGACTCGAATCCGACGGCGAGGGCGAAACACCACTTCGAACACTGGATTTTCGCAGCTTGCCCATGGGAGATAAGCCCCCAGGAACCTGGGAAGAGTTCGGACGAAGGTTCCGCTGGCTGCCAAGCGGTGAAGACTCTCCCGTTTGTCCATGCCCGTTAGCGCCATTAACAGTCAGGTGGTGTCGGTTGGTTCCCATCGTGCCGCTCTTCGACCCAGCTAGCGACTCTGACTTGCTTCCCGCCTGCAAGGCTAGCATAGCCGCATCCCTTGACCAGTCTGTCAACATGTGCTCGCGGAACATAGTTGGCAGCTCCGACCCGGGCGTCGCGGGCGTTGCTGAGATTGAGGTGCTAAGAATGGGGTGCGAAAAGTTCCGCCCGGGCGATTGAGGAGGACTGCTCGGCGGAGAGATAGTTGTGTCTGCATAGCTCACAGTGATACTCTCTACAAACGATGCGCGGTCATCGAATGGCAGCAAAGCTTCGCTCTCAACTTCTGTGGCGGGCAGCTTGGTTTGCAACTTGGGAACTCCAGGCGTTCCGAGGAGCTCTAGGGCTGGCGGAGGGATAGCCACACCCTCGGTCCAGAAATGCTTGCTGCGTCTTCGGATGACCTCGTTCGTGATGGCGCGTCCCACGGCAGAGTTCTCGATATCGAACTTCTCGGTCACAGCCCAGAAATATCCGTGGCAAAGACTGCCCAGGCGAACCTTTTGCACTGGCAGCTCTGCGTCTGGAATGTCCTCCTGAAGACGGAATACCATTGGCAATCCGTACTGGACTGCGTTGACACCCAATTGGGACACCAGCTTCGTAAGCAGCACGTGAAGAAGAACAATATCCGGGTCATAGTCAACATACTGCAACGCGTTGTCGTAGATTGCAATATGGAGAAGTTGGAGAAAGTGTGAGCGGTGCCTCGATGGCTTCTCGCGGTTGGATGCGTTTGATGCGGCTCGTTGAGCAACATTGGCAGGTTGAAGCTCGCGGCTGTTCTTCAAAGAAGACCGGTGGTGCTGAGAGTTTTCGTCCCGCGCCTTCCAATCAGCCGCCGTTGTCTCGCGGTCCAGCCAGGTCAGAAGCGCATCGGCGTAGGCTTTTCTGACCTCGCCATCTGGATCCCGCAGAAGCCAGTGTGTGTTCTCCCAAACTTGAATGGGGACCTTATTTCTCGACAGGTTCAAGTTGCCGGACATCTGTGCTCGCGGGTTTGCAACGAGGAGTATGTTCTTGATTGCCTTCAAGGCAGCGGTCTTGCCAACGTTACGGGAAAGGTACGTTTCCAGCTGGGGTTGGCTGGCAGTCATCTCATCGGAGGAGGGCTGCTCAGAGGCTTCGGCCTGTGGCGACGAGCTGGTACTCGAGGATTTGGAGGGCTTTAGTCGGAGAAGGATCGTCGAAATCATATCCGAAATCTGGTCTGCGTAGTAGACGTGTGTCGCCAGGTCTCCAATGCAAAGTTGAATTCGCTCGAGGAGTTCTTTTCGCTGAGCGAATACGTCACCGGATCCTTGAAGAGTAGAGACTGCTTCTTCGGGCTCTCCCTCAGTTCTTCCAAAGCCTTCTGGCAGCTGAATGAGCTTCTTCATGTGCTGGACAAGACCAAGCAAGACGTCCATGGCGCTCAGTCCAATCAAGTTGACGTCGGAACGCAGCAAGGACCCAATCATAGCCGTGAGCGACAGATGAAGCTTGAGGTTGTCATCCTTGACAGGTGCTTTCGACAGATGATCCATGGCCGTCACCAGAATGACATAGCGGTCCTGCACAGGCGCCCATCTCGTGATTGCGCTGTACATGCTTATTGCCCACCCGTGATCCTGGCCTAGCTTCTCGTCCGGCTTGACAACCGTGTTTCCGTTCGCGACGCGATCCTCGATGAATTGAATGAGAGCACCAGTCGCGGAATGAATCTGTGGTCGGTTTGGCGCCACAAAGATCTGCTTCAGGCACTGCATGGCGAGCACACCAACGTCCTCTTCCGCCAGCCTATCTACATCGTGAGCAGTGCCCGTGAGAGCGATGGGGTTGGCGTCGCCAGTATCGTTGGTTTCCACAGTTGCGACGCTCGTCCTACGGCGAAGCTTCTCTGCCTGCACTTTTTCTTCCATCTGTATGCGCGATAGGAGCGTGTCGAGCAGCTCGTCGTCATCCCACCATAGGTTGTCCAAAATAACGGGAACGATCACGTCAAACTGGCGGCCAGTGACAGTCGATAGAGCTTCCGAAGAGGAAACGCTCCTGATTGCTTCGAGACCGGCGTTCCTCCATCGCATCAACACAGGCTTGCTAGAAGCTCCTTTCCCAGGGTTTTCGCGGGTCGAGGCCAGCGAAGCGTAGGTGCGGACGATCGATTCGTACTGGGCGAGATAAGCTTGGTCTGCAAAGGAGGACGAGGCATCGTGGTTTTCGCAAAACGCCTCAAAGGTGGGGATAGAGGATTCGACCATGGTGATGTCCTTGGATCCGAGGATGAGGTCGAGGATTTTGAGCACATTGGGAGCTACGAGCGGCAGGTCCTTGGGGGCCTTTTCGATCAGTGCCGTGAGAATTCGAAGGGTAACTTGCACATTTCTACAAGGGGATCAGTAAGTAAGGCGATCTCTCAATACCTAGGGAGGTTCACAAACCCGATGCGCTGCCGCCAGACATCGCTCGCCGTCTTCTTCTCCAAGAAGGCGCCAATTTTCTGAATCTTGGAACGGCGGGAGGTAGCATAAAACAGAAGGTAGCTCAGTTCGCTAGAATTCGGCTTGACATCAACAGCGCCCTTGTTGGTCCTTGGATAACACTTGAGGACCAGCACTTGGTGCTTCGGTCGACATTTTTGCTGGATCGCGTTCATGGCGCCGGGGTTATCGGGGCCCGATGAGCGAGGAGAGTCGGAGGGCTACCTGTTGGTCGGTAGTAGACGATGGCAACGAAATAGCATCGAGGTTGGAGAGAGGGAGTGAAAGGCGTCGCGTCAAGTTTGGAAAATTAGTCGCCGTCTTCGTCGGGTTGAATCGCAAAAAGCAAGGAAGGAGTGAGGCATTGGACAAAGTCAAAAAAAGAAAGGGAGCAGGCGTAACGGAGAAGCCAGCAAGCAATAATTTGGGTGTGGCAGACAAGAGACCCGACAGAAACAGATTCCAGTCAAGGCCCGGCCAGGCCAAGCCAGCACGGGGGGCTTGACGGGGGGGTAAGCGTGGACGTGCTCCGTCAGGTACCTTTACTGCGAGGGCCAGGGGAGATGGGTACCTCACCATGTGTGTACCATACCCTTAACCTTGCAACTGGAGAAAGCCAGCCTGTGGGTATCTGGTACACTTCCAGGCTGGGTTACTGTGTAAGTTTGCCAACCTCCCAGCTACTCTCTTAAAAGTTGGGCTGGCTCGAGAAGTGGTGCAAATGCAACGGGACTTATTCGTTGTGAAATGGGCCGAAATTGCTGTCTGCACCGCACCACCTTCTCACTTTATTGCCAACCCGCTGCAGACTGCATCGTCGTCATCATTTTTACCCGATTATCCATCCGGCCCTCGCCATGTGGCCTCAACCATTTCGAGAACGAGGGTAACGCTACCCGATGCGAAACCAGTGCCTGTATTGAAGTCAGCTTCCGGATGAGAAGCCAAAGGTGAAGAATACAGTCAAGTGATTTTTGCGTTCGTACAGTCAAGATAGTATCAAAATGAGCAATCTGCTGGGATGGGCAGACACACGTGGGAAAGG